GATGAAGAAATCATGAAAATTCATGAGGTGAGAAAAGAGGTGAGAAAAGAGGTGAGATCTAACCTCTTCACCTAAAATATATTTTTGTCTGATTTACGCTCATTACGATGAAGAAGTTTCGACAAATCATTTACGATGAAATCATGACAAATCATGTACGATGAAGTTTCGACAAAACATATACGTTCATGTTTGACAAAGAACATACGAAGAAGTTTTGAGCGAAGCACAGCGAGACATACTTTTTTCTGAAAATCGTGAAGAACAGCGAGTAGGTAAGAAACCCCAGTCGCCAAAACTCTATGAAAATCGTGAAAAATTGCCAAACGGTTTGAGAGGATATTATGTACATAGATGACAAAACATTTACGATGAAGTTTTGACAAAACATGTACGAAGAGATTCCGTATGAAAATTCATGAGGGTAGAAAAGAGGTGAGAAAAGAGGTTAGATCTACCCTTCTACCCTAAACATTATTTTTGGGTCATTTACGCTCATGTTTGACAAAGCATATACGTTCATTACGATGAAGAAATCATGACAAAACATATACGCTCATTACGATGAAGAAATCATGACAAAACATGTACGTTCATGTTTGACAAAACATTTACGTTCATTACGATGAAGAAATCATGACAAAACATATACGCTCATTACGATGATGAGGTCATGACAAAACATGTACGTTCATGTTTGACAAAGCATATACGTTCATTACGATGAAGAAATCATGACAAAACATGTACGTTCATGTTTGACAAAACATTTACGTTCATGTTTGACAAAACATTTACACTCATTACGATGAAGAAATCATGACAAAACATTTACGTTCATGTTTGACGAAACATGTACGATGAAGAAATCATGACAAAACATGTACGATGAAGTTTTGACAAAACATTTACGTTCATGTTTGACAAAACATTTACACTCATTACGATGAAGAAATCATGACAAAACATTTACGTTCATGTTTGACGAAACATGTACGATGAAGAAATCATGACAAAACATTTACGCTCATGTTTGACAAAACATTTACACTCATTACGATGAAGAAATCATGACAAAACATTTACGTTCATGTTTGACAAAACATGTACGATGAAATCATGAAAATTCATGAGGTGAGAAAAGAGGTGAGAAAAGAGGTGAGAAAAGAGGTTAGATCTACCCTTCTACCCTAAACATTATTTTTGGGTCATTTACACTCATTACGATGAAGAAATCATGACAAAACATGTACGATGAAGTTTTGACAAAACATTTACGTTCATGTTTGACAAAACATTTACACTCATTACGATGAAGAAATCATGACAAAACATTTACGTTCATGTTTGACGAAACATGTACGATGAAGAAATCATGACAAAACATTTACGCTCATGTTTGACAAAACATTTACACTCATTACGATGAAGAAATCATGACAAAACATTTACGTTCATGTTTGACAAAACATGTACGATGAAATCATGAAAATTCATGAGGTGAGAAAAGAGGTGAGAAAAGAGGTGAGAAAAGAGGTTAGATCTACCCTTCTACCCTAAACATTATTTTTGGGTCATTTACACTCATTACGATGAAGAAATCATGACAAAACATGTACGATGAAGTTTTGACAAAACATTTACGTTCATGTTTGACAAAACATTTACGTTCATGTTTGACGAAACATGTACGATGAAGAAATCATGACAAATCATTTACGATGAAATCATGACAAATCATTTACACTCATTACGATGAAGAAATCATGACAAAACATTTCCGTTCATGTTTGACAAATCATTTACGCTCATTACGATGAAGAAATCATGAAAATTCATGAGGTGAGAAAAGAGGTGAGAAAAGAGGTGAGATCTAACCACTTCACCTAAAATATATTTTTGGGTCATTTACACTCATTACGATGAAGTTTTGACAAAACATATACGATGAGGTCATGACAAAACATATACGAAGAAATCATAACAAAACATTTACGATGAAGAAATCATGACAAAACATTTACGATGAAATCATAACAAAACATTTACGTTTAAGTTTGACAAAGAACATACGATGAGGTCATGACAAAACATATACGAAGAAATCATAACAAAACATTTACGATGAAGAAATCATGACAAAACATTTACGATGAAATCATGAAAATTCATTGACGATGAAACCATGACGAAACCATTCACGATCCAACCTTGACAAAGCATATACGTTCATGTTTGACAAAACATTTACGATGAAACCATAACGAAACCATTGACGTTCATGTTTGACGAAACCATTGACGTTCATGTTTGACAAAAACATTGACGATGAAACCATGACGAAACCATTGACGTTCATGTTTGACGAAACCATTGACGTTCATGTTTGACAAAAACATTGACGATGAAATCATGACAAAACCATTGACGATGAAACCATGACGAAACCATTGACGTTCATGTTTGACAAAAACATTGACGATGAAACCATGACGAAACCATTGACGTTCATGTTTGACGAAACCATTGACGTTCATGTTTGACAAATTCATTGACGATGAAACCATGACGAAACCATTGACGTTCATGTTTGACGAAACCATTGACGTTCATGTTTGACGAAACCATTCACGATCCAACCTTGACAAAAACATTGACGATGAAGAAATCATGACGAAACCATTGACGATGAAACCATGACGAAACATTTATGTTATACAGTAATGTTAGTCATGAATGTTTGTCCTACGTGTTGGCGTTAGTGTTGAAAAATAATGTTTGTCCTACATGAAGCCGTACAAGCGTTTGAATTTGTTTATGCATAAGATTACTCTCTTGTTTTCTGTATCTATCATACAAACATAAGCAGCACCTGTTTTTGTAAAGTTTATATGAAGTTTTCGATAGTTAGGACCTGTATAGTAATAGAATGCGTCCTCATTCTCAACATAGTAGTAGAACTCAAACGAATGCTTACCATAATCTGTTATTTCAACAGCTTCGTCAGATATTTCATCAACGAACTCATAAACTATATCGCCATACTTGCTTTTATTTCTATTGTTTTCAGATCTAGAACACCAACGAAGGTTTGAGATTCTGTTGTCCGTTCTATCATGATTTATATGGTCTATTTCTTTCAAATTGTTTGGATTTTCAATCCACTGTTCTGCAATAATTCTATGCTTTAAATGTGTTTTGTTGTTTAAACTAAGCTCAATATAACCATGATTATTTAAGCATTCACTCTTAATATGTTTGTTTTTCTTTCGACGAATAGTAAAAGGATATGTCGTACAAATCTCATAATCTTCATGATTTCTCAATGTTTCCCATTGAGTTTGTTCCCCACTAACGTTCTCATTGACGTCCTCAATATCTTCTTCCTCACTGAACTCGTCAATATTTTCACTAGCTCCTTCTGTAATGTTTTCATCGGCATTGTCATTGACTTCTTCTGTAATGTTAGATGTTGTTGTTTCGCTCATGTTCTTTCACTAATGTTAAAAGTTATGTTGTACGAATTTTGAACAGAATTTAGAGCAGTTATGAAACAATGAAGTATTTTTACGCTATTGAAAGGAACTATGAGAGTGAAGTACATGATAACAATGACAAAAGGAACTAATATCAAACCTAATGAAATCGCTCACGAGGACATAGAGCTTAACAAGTACTTTGTGGAGTATCTTATAAGTGAAGAGTATGTAAGACCTTACTTCATGTTTGACAGCATGAATGAGGATGTTATTTCATGGTTAAAGAATATAAGCAATGTTTTCGGTAAGTACGTAGTAGATGACAAAGGTCTTGTTGTATTTTATGAGACAGCAATACGAACACAGGAACTAATGGATATTATGCACTCAACAGCAAAGAAAGGATTTAGTACTATTGGCATGAATGAACATTGCAGGAATGACATATACAACCTATGCTCACGAAAGCCTTACACAAAAGCAATACAAATGATAGAACATAAGTGTCTAAGGTCAGCAAATGAAATCATTACTGTCAGTGGTTATGAAAGAACTGTTAGCAAAGATGAGTGGAAACAGCTATTCATATTAAGGAAGGACGTTGCTGAACTAGTTAAACCTGTTGCACAAACATTGTTTCAGATAAGACCAGCAATGACTAAGAACCCTTTGACCTTAGTCAATGAGACCATAGAGGTTGAAGATAATGACATGAAAGAACTAGGAATGAATGAGAGAAGTTGTGAAGGATGTTTGAGTCAAAGCACATGGTTCTTCAGAGCTGTTAAGAAACTTAGTAAAGAACGACAGAAATATTTTATAGAGAAGTATTGCAAAGGATGTGTAAATGAATTGCTTGAAATAGAACTTAGAGACACTTTCACACTAAAGGACTTGAGGAGAAATAAGTACATGAGTGAGGACGGTATTGACATAGCTAGTGTTATAAATGACTTAAGAAGATGTGTTGTTGTTATTGACGGAGCACGTATGACATATCTAGTGAAAGATTATGATGGAATACGAGACACAACAACACTTGTGACAGTAGATAGCAAGGAATTCAATAAGCTCATGAAGAGTGTTTATGTAGGACGTATTGAGGAGAAGGATGTGAACGCACTGATGATTTATGAAGCGGGTCAGAACAAGAACTATCTTATGAAGTCAGGCATGAGATTCTTTGACGAAAGAGATGACATTTACAGCTATTTCAGAGGATATGAGTATGAGGTACTGAATGAAGTAGATGAAAGCATTATTGAAGGATATTTGAAACATGTTCACGATGTCATATGTAATGAGGATGAAGAGCTTTATGAGTATGTTTTGAACTGGTTCGCCTACATCGTTCAAAATCCTTGTGGAAAGACTGGAACAGTACTTTTGTTAGTAGGAAAGCAAGGAACTGGTAAGAATGTATTTAGTAATGTTCTATGCGAGCTCATTAGCAAGTACGCCAACAATAATATAACGGCAATAGAGAATGTGATTGGTAGATTCAATGCTGCTATTGAGAACATGAAGCTCATCGTATGCAATGAACTAAGCTCATGCGATACGTCTAAGGTCATGAACCACGACGCACTAAAGTCAATAGTAACAGAGACTCAGTTGGACTTAAATCAGAAGTGTCAGCCAGTAAGAAAGATAGAGAATGTTTGTAATATCATCATGATATCTAACAACTTCAACTCAGTAAAGATTGACAAAGACGACAGAAGATTTGTTGTCATTGACGTAAGCAGCAGATACAAAGGAAATTACGAATATTTCTCAAATCTCATTGAAAGCTTTAATGAAGAGTTTTATTCAAACTTACTGACGTACTTCATGAAGAAAGATTTAAGTGAATTTGATGTAAGGAAGATACCATTCACCAGGGCTAAACAAGAACTCATCGAAATGAACAAAACACCTTACCAAATGTTTTACGAGGAGTTCTATGAAAAGTTTGTATCCGGATGGAATTGTACAGAGTGCTACAGAAGATATAAAGAATTTGCGAAGGAGAATGAATTCTTTGCATGTAGTTCAAATGTATTTGGCGGCAAGATGAGAGAATTTGTGAAGAGAAGTAGAAAGCGAGACGGTTCTGCAAGAAGTTATATTTACGAAGCAAGTATGATATTAGAAGGTCGTGGAAAGAAAGAAACAGTGAATTATGAGGAAGTGCTTGAAAAATTCATGGAGTACATGGGAAGCAATATAACATACAACAAAGACATATATAGTGAGTTTAAGTACTACTGTGAACAGCATGAGATTGAAGTAATGAGTAAAGGAGACTTTGAAACGCTTATGAAAGACAGTAAGGAGGTCGTTCATGAATGCAATGATGAAATAGTTCATGAGAACAGTAAGGAGGTCGTTCATGAGAACAATGATGAAATAGTTCATGAGAACAGTGAGGAGGTCATACATGAGAACAGTGAAGAGGTCATACATGAATGCAATGATGAAATAGTTCACGATGTCGTTCGTGAAGAAGCCATTGCAACAAAGAATGAGATAAAGGATTTCATAGAACTTAACAAGGAGGAGTTTAAAGAAGGCTATGAAGTGAAAAGATGTGAAGAAGATTTCTTGGCGTATTTGAAGAAAAAGAGACTAAAGCCAATGGCTCAAAATAAGTTTCAATCGATGTTTGAAAAGAAACGTTTGAGCTATGGTGGTGTAAGAAGCACATATTACTTTGTTAAGAAGTGAGGACATTTATTTTTGTCGTTAGTGTTGGAGTTTGTGTTTGTTGTTAGTGAGAGAATAAATTAAATCATGAACTTTGCCATGGTCTCTGTCCCTAGTAGTTTTCATTAAGTTCTGGAAATAATGAAAGTCATAAACTTTGCCATGGTCTCTGTCCCTAGTAGTTTTCATTAAGTTCTGGAAATAATGAAAGTCATACTTTCTATCAGATGAAGCATGCAGATGAACATAATGAAAGTTAGTGAGTTTGCCACGAGTTATGAATAAAATATTGGCATATTAGATGAGATAGCTGATGAAACAGATGAAGATAAATTAAATCTTGGACTTTGCCACACTCTGTCCCTAGTTCCTCAAAATCCTTGACAACGTTGCTTAGAAATTTTGGTTCAAAACCTCATCTGATTTTAATCTGTTATGCTACCTGTTAAGTTTCGCGAGATTATAAATGTCATGGAGTTATATAAAAAGGAGGGACAGCTAGGGACACTGGAAGTACTTGTAAGGCTATCTGTTAAGATTGCATGAAATACTAAAAGTCATGAAATCCATTATCGCTGTGCTAGCTTCACCTTAGAGTAAAATGACAAATAAAGTCACTGAAGCAATGAAACAAAAGTTTTTGGTAGAATACATTAAATCAGGAACTATTCCAGAAGGTTTTTACATTCATACTATGAAGGATGGTAGAGTTCAGTTTAGAAAGATAAAGCAACCATTAGATAAAGAAGGAATTTTGAGAAAGATTAAACTTCATGAGGACAACATTGCTGAACTTAAGAAGAAGTTAGAAGAGTTGGATAAAGGAAGAGAGTTATAAAGCAATGAATTCAAGTGGGTGAAAAAAGAGGTGAAAAAAGAGGTGAGATCTCACCACTTCACCTAAATTTATTTTTGTGCTATGTTTTCATACGTGTGGGAGTGGTGATATCATTAATTTTTAAGTTTATTTTTATATAAATGACGAAAACTATTGAGATAACAAACTACAACGGTCATGAGTTCAAGAATTTGTTCTTCGTTCCTCGTGAAAATACATTCTATCAGATACGAGGGAGAAAGGGTAAAGTTAGTTTGAGCGTTTATGACAACAAACATAATGGGAGATATATAAAAGCAATAGATACAAATGGTAAACGTGTTTCATTAGCTTTGTCAAAACTTACAGGTATAAACTATGACAGTGATTTTGACCTATATGAAGAAGAAAGTGAGTCAGAAGATTATGAGCTGTTATGTGAAGCACAGCAATGGGAAGCGCTGCAATACTTTTGTAAATGAGAACATTAGTGGGAACGTTAGTGAGAACGTTTATTTTTTCATTAGTGAAGTCGTTAGCGAAGTCATTAGTGAAGTCATTTATGTGTCAGATGGTTTTGTAAATATTTAAGGTTAAGTTGGGTAAGGTGGAACGCAGTGCCGCCGTACCCAAGTTAACCATACTAACTACTACGTCACCATGTCACCAGGTTAATTAACTTCTCTTAAAAATGATGACAACATGACATTTAGACAACAGGTACGAAAGGAGGAAGGCATTTATGTCATACATTTTTGAATAATTTATTTTTTTAATTCGTAAGAAATTTTCACAAACCCTTTACATAATGAAACTTTTTTTGTTACATCTATATATAGACGATGCATTAAAATATATTTATTTATAAACCATTAAAAAAATTAACATTAATTTTAAAATAATTTATTTTATCTTTTATAAAAGAAGCTATATATAGATGATGTCAGATATTCCGCGATTAATTAAACATTGTTTAAATCCTGAATGGAATCAATGGAGTCATAAACGAGTAAAAGAAATAAAAAATAAACTTTAAAAATTCATGTCTTACATTTTTGAATTATTTTTGAAGAACTGAAGGTGTCACTACGTCACCATGTCACCAGGTTAATTAACTTCTCTTAAAATTACTGACAACATGACATTTTGACAACAGGTACGAAAGGAGGAAGGCATTTTTGAATAATTTATTTTTTTAATTCGTAAGAAATGAGTGAATCAAAATTCGTGACTGTGAATCAATTAATGAATAAACTTTCACCAATTCTCACCCAGGTTAAACAAGTAGACGTTTATTTTGATGATTACATACAAAGTTTATTTTATAAAGGTAAGTTTAATATTAAACCTATTGCTTTTGCATTTGATGGTAAATTAATCGAAAATTCAAAAATTTGGGAATTAATTCCGGATATTGAATTTATAACAAATATTAAGGATAAATGGTTTAAACAACAAAACCACCTCACTAAAGTTCTTTGTAGATTAATGATTAAAACTGAGGAAAAAGAATTTAACGGGTTTAAATATCATCCATGTAAAATTTTAGAACTTGGTAACGAAAAACTTCAGAAAAAATTAAACGAAAGACTATCAAAAGATAAAGTTGAAAGAGTAAATAAACTCGCTAAAGGTAATGGTAATGATGAAGAAGAATTTGATGAGTTCAACATAGAACTTTAAGAAACTAATGATTATTTGAATTTATGAAATCAATTATTTGATTCATTCTTTCTTCAATCTCTTCTATTCTTTTTGTTAAATCATCTATTTTTATTAATGAGGTGATTCTTGATTGAGGAATAGATTTCAAACTAACCACTCCTTTTATTTTTGAAATTTTGAATCCATCAACTTTAAACATTTTATTCAATTTACATGTTGTCAATTCTTCAAATAATTTTTTATTATTAGCATAATAGTCATTAAATTCTTCAACAGATGAAAAAATTTTTATTTCAGTAATTGGTTTAACAACGTTTATTTTTTGTTGAACATTTTCACTTTCATTTATTTCTTCCTCCTCTGTTTCATTTATTTTTAAAATCGGTTTCATTTATCATTAAATAAAAATTAGAATATAAGTGATGAAATATATTTTTAATTAATATTAAATCAGAAATGGCGGCAGGATTCTTTAAAAAATTATGGGATGGAATTAAGAAAGCTGCGGGTTGGGTTTATAAAAAGATTATTAAACCCGTTGCAAACTTTTTGGCACCAGTAGCGAAAACGGCAGGAACTATCATAGGTGGAGTATTAGGTACTAAAGCGGGTAATCCGGCGATGGGAGCACAAGCAGGTAACGCAATTGGTGGAATAGCTGAAGGAATACTTAATAAAATAGGAGGTAGATAGTGGAAAAATAAATATTATTTTTATCTTAGTATCGGTTGAAGTCTTTGATAAACTTTTTCTCCTTTATTTAAAACTTCTCTTATTGGGGCAGCTTTTGGTGTTATTGATTCAGCAACGTCACTAATTGCTTCTTTATTCTTAAATATCCAATTTGCCCCCTTCTTCAATGTTTCCCAAACTTTACTCGCTCCTCTTTATACTTTATCCCACAGTTTCTTAAATATACCTGCAGCCATAGTTGATTATTTCATTAAAATTAAAAATTCATTTTCATCTTTTAATTTTGATTTTTTATTTATTAATAAATGACGACTAACTATTTGGTGCCAAACACTAAACCGATTAATGGAAATGTATTTCATTCATTCGAAAAGATAAATGAAATATTCGCAAAGAATGACGGTAGAAGATATTATAGAGAACTTGAAAGTTCATGCTATGACTCTGATGCTCCATATTTTGATGATAAACAAACTCATTTAAGAATTACAAATCCGGTTCATGATGTGAACCAATTAGGTGACACATATATTAAACGCAAAGTTAAAGCAACTCTAGTTTCAAATAAAGCTTTCACATGTGATGCCGCTTTTAAATGCATGCGTTTATTCGTTGGTTACAAATCATCAAATCAAAACTTTAAACAATTAGAAGTAGAAACTGAAAGAGGTGATGCCGGTTATCTTCAGATGGATTGTGCCCGTGAATCTTTCGCATTTGCAACATATAAACCAAAATCAGAAAGGAAAGTTAAAAAGTTTGTTCATTCGTTATATAATAATGTTCAAAAATATGATAACTCAGTATGTGGTAAATATATTGACCCTTCAGAAGTTTTCAAGAAAGCAAATGAAGAAGTTGATGTCACTTTTGATATGATTATTCCGGTAAATGATTTGTTAGCATTTCAGGCGTTCGATGATTATCCTAAATCATTTGGTGAAATCATTCTTAAATATTATGTTTTCAGGGATACTTTAGTATTTTGTCAGGTTGACCCGTTAAGAGTTGCTGATTTACAAAATTACGTTTATGAAAAGATAACTGATGAAAATTATGAAAAGATTATGAATCATGTTTATAAATATGATCGCAAATTCCAACAAATCGGACTTCCTGCCAAATTAATTACAAGCTTAGCCGCTACATCTGCTGACGCAACAGTTGATGACGTTATTATTTCATGCACAAAGATGGAAGTTTTAGAGGATAAATGCATTACACCAGGATACGGTTTAATTGAAGAATCAGTTAAAGCAATACCACGTTTATTCAGTAAGGAAGATCCATTCATGATTCCAGCTCAACATATTGACGTTCGTTCACTAAATGGAGGTTGCATCACTCCTGAAGGTATCAGCTCAGATTTCTCATACGCTCTTCATAATGTTACAGATGTTGTGTTAGCATTTCCGAAGAATGCAATGCAAAGAACAGTTTTAGAAAATCCAATGCTTCGAGGTCTTCAGGTCACTATAGATTCCAGAAACTTCCCCGATCAAGCGATGACCACAGTGGGTGACATATTCTTTACACGTATGCTTCAAGCTTCTGATTTAGATGGAGTGAATGAATGCACAGAAGAATACGAGGACTCATTAACTAGACCACTGAATGATGATAATGGCACGCCATTAGCTAGAACATGGAAAGACCAAACTTCATTCTTATGCACTATTCCAGTTCAACGTGATGGAGCGGGTATATTCTTTGATGGATTAGAAACTTTCAATTCACAAGTTACAGTACAAGTGAAAGCTTATCCAATCATTCAGGGTGTAAATGACACTTACTGTTCAAAGGTGACAAATCCTCCTCAGGTTTGGTTTACTAGGACTACATATTGGACATGGACACCGGACGAAGGTTTGAAATATCATCCAACAGGTACACCACCACAGTATAGAAGTTCATATGATGAAATATTGATGAATAGAAATGTTTAAAATTATAAATTTATTTTTGATTAAATGGATTTAAATTCATCCACCCCTTATGAAGAATTAGCGGGAGTATATAATACATACGTAGATGATATGATTAATGAAGCATTGAGTGATAATAGAAATGCTCTATCTAAGGAAAAATTAATGAAAATTCCATATTCTGAATGTTACTTAAATTCAATCACTGCAGCAATTGGTAAACAAAATAAAGGTAAAACATTAACGATATTAAAACAAATTATCATTATTGCTAACACTTCCCCCTATTCACATGTGTTAATTTATATCAACCGTTCAGGTTCACCTTCAGATGATACATTTGAATCTTTAAAGCATTTAATCAAAATTCCAATTATTTATTTATCACAAGAAGAAGCAGAAGATTATTTAAAAAACTTTTTAATGTATAAAGAATTATATAATACAATCAAGAAGCAAGGATTAGAGGATAAAATTATTGATAAACAACGGGATGAATTATTTGAAACACTTTCTATTTCAAATTTTGATAGAGAATTTTTGCATTCACTCATTTTTCTAGATGATGCAGTGAAATCAAAACTAATAACAAATGAGAAATCATATTTTAATCAGTTATTAACTCAATGTCGACACATTCAGTGTTCATTCTTCATGGCTGTTCAATATTTCAAAGCATTAAGCACAAACATTAAATCAAATCTATCAACCCTTTTCATTTTCAGTGGGTTTAGTCGTCAACAGTTGAACGTTATGCTTTATCAAGTGAATTTACCAATGAGCATTAATGAACTTTACACACAATATCAGCAATTAGGTGAACATGGAAAAATAATAGTTGATTTAAATAAAGGAAGTGTTAAATTTGATTAACTTTTTATAATTAATTTTTATTTTTTATTTATAATTAAACATGACAGAAATTGCAAATCTTCTACAGGTTCCATTAAAACAAGGGACAAACAAAAAGGGTGCATATAATAGAACTATGAAAGTTCCAGATGGAATGAAAGAATTAGTCCACATTGTTGCCGGTCTTCAAAAGGATGTTAAACAAATGAGAAACGTTTTAACATTACCAGAAGCTCAAGCATATGCCAAACGTCATGGACCAAATTGGGAAGCACATGAAGCAGACATTACGGGTCCAAATGGAAAACCTGATGGTATAAATGAAGTCTTTGTTACTGATGGTCAAGGAAATATTAAAGTCATAAATGGGTATAAATTAACAATGACGGATTATCCTAAACGTAAAGCATATAATGAACGTTATCCTATGAAATTTGATGTAAATGGAAAAGCTGTTAAACAACATATCGGAGACAGTAAAGATGGACCAATTCTTTCATACCGTCATAATCCATATTCTTATTTCAATGAAGAATTAAACGCTATTGAAGAAGGACCAAACGGATTACCTCAATATGTTAATCAGTTTGATGGTCAATATGCAAATTTGAGACCTGAAATTCCAGCTAGAAATTCTTTAAAGTTGCTTTATTCGATCCACTGTTCAATGAACAGAAAGAAGCAATGAAAGCAGAATTTAAACCAATTCAGTGGCAAGAATTTCTTCATCTTCACTTTCAGAAGCGTTCAAGGAATTGATAAAGAAACCACTTTATTCTCAACAAGGTTATAACTTTGATTTAATTAAAGAAAGTGATAGACGTAAATTAGAAAAATCAGATGGTTTTAAGAATGCATGTAATGAAATGATTAAAGATATTGTAAATGATAAAATAAGACTGGAAGAAACTCAAATCATTATCAATAACATAATTGGTGCAGTTACAAAGAAAGTATAAGCAAACAAGGATGAACCTTGGGATATTACCGTAACAACTAAATAAAACTTTAAATATATTTTTCTTTTTTTTATTCAATTATAAATGAGAAGACGTTTCACAAGTCAAAAGAACACAAACGCAAAGCAGAGATTACGGTTGGTTATAACGTAAATTTGATGATAAATCACGAATTATTTCAAAATGTTAAAGTTAATGTTAGTCCTGAATTAACAAGGTCAGCAACACAGTCCAATTTATTAACTCGTGACTTACCAAAGAAAGAGGAGGAGCAAAATAAAGAAGATGAAGACCCAATCATTTTATCTGAACCCGGTAAAGAACCCGTTGAAATCCCCACATATCCAACATACCCCCCACCTCTTTCATCAAACATCGAGAACCCAGGAATCTACGATTCCAGTCGCAATGCGCCATATAAAGTAGACATTAATTCTGAATTAATGAAAATTTACCGTGATATAATAATTAATAATTATGATTCAATAATAAATTTAATTGACCAATCTGGTTTAATTATTTTACCTTATGAATCATTAATTCACATTATCGCCATTCTTTGTGATGTTCAAGATTCAGACGTTAAGATTCAATTTTTCATAGATGATGAGGTTTCATGCTGCGGAACAGTTGCAAAAATAAATCCTATAAAGGATATTAGCACAATTAAGATATCAAAGAACGGAGCAACAACTGAACTACATTTAACTTATAATAACATATACAATAAAATAGTTGATGAATATAAAATATCACTTGAAAAATTCTTTGTTAAGGCTATTTAATATTCAAGCATTAACATTATCGAATAATAATCTTTGAATCATAATCAATAATAATTGACCTTTCACCAGTTTCTATCGTTTGTTTTATTTCTTTTTGTTCCCCACTATCCGGATCGGTCATTGTAATTGTTTTTGTTATAGTATCAGCTTTATCTTTAACTTCAATCTTTTTTCCATCAGGATATTTAAACCAAAATTCCAAAATTCGATATTGTCAATCTGTTCATATTTTAATCTATCAATTACATTTTTAATACCATCTGAAAATCTTATGAAATGGTCATTATATGGGTTTGATTTGAACTAAATTTGAATGAAGTGAAATATAACCTGTTGATGAATATGACATTGACTCGTATTTTCTGAAAACACTAAAATTTATAACATGAATGAATTTCTTATTCGTTGAATTTATGAATTCTTGAGGTAATCTTATTCTAGTTTTTATTTATCACTGGAAAATAACGCTTTACCATATTTTTTAATCGTAATAAAAATGTCAATTATCAATATTATTTCGAATAATAGTTGTGAATTAAATTTAACAGTTAGCGGAATTTATAATGTTACTCTCGTTTCTGTGAGTGGTAAATTTAATCCCATTCTTTTAGACCCTTCAGATTATATATCATTTATTAAAGATGACCTTGAAAAAACGTATGATATGTATATAAATAATGTGATAGCGAAATGGGATATTAACATGATTTTAAGTTATTTAAATGAATCATTTATCGTACGGTATGAAGAAAATTTTAAATCAAAACCCGATAAACTTTTTGAACTTGATGAAATAAATAACCTTATTAAATTTCCGCTGAAAATTAAATTTTGTACTCCTCAGCTTCGTTCATTGTTGGGGATATTAAATTTTGAAAAAGATGTTGGGGATGTTTTGTATTCTGACACTGGTTCCAATTTCATTTTAATCAAATGTGATAAAGTTAATACCCCAATGAGATTTTCACATCAAACATTAGACCCTAACTCTTACCCATCAATACAAAACATTTTATCCATCAACTTAAACACATTTTCTTTATCATATCCGTTTCAATTATCCGGGAATTCATTTATTCTTCATTCAAAAGATTTATCAAATATTAAATTTAGAATAACTGACCTATTTGATTGTGATTTAGAATTCATGAATGAAATATTATGGCAATTTCAAATAGAAAAAATAGCTGATGAGATAACAGATTAAATATTTATTTTTAAATCATAATAAATGATTAAACAACAGCAACCACAACAACTTAAGGCACAAAGCACCCAGGTCCCTCAGACCATTACATACGCCATATATGCATATAATTCAAAGACGGCAGAACAAACGCAAAGGTTGAAATATGGAGATTTGGAGATAGTATTGAAAAATGACCATTTCGAATTCGTTTGCAAGGGTGGTGCAGTGATATCAAATATAAAAGAAATTTTATTTATGAATTCAAAAATTAAAGGTATAACGGATGATATAACATCAATTCCACCAGAAGAACAAAGATATTACGCATTAAATGCATTTCCTAAAGTTTTGAAGATTGGAAGATTTAATTTAAATGAGGAATTCATAAAAGGTTTCCTAAATGACATAATGAAGAAAGCAGATAAGGAATATGTGGATGAAAAAGATAAAGAAATTAAAGAAAGGGTTGAATGGTATCATGAATGGACATCGAAGATTTTTAAAACTAAAGCTGATACAGGATGGGTTTCAGAATGTTTAGACCTTAAAGCGGATAAAACATATGTTAACGATGAGTTAGAGAAGAAGGTGGATAAGGAATATGTGGCTAGTGAATTAAATAAGAAGGCAAATTTGGTTTACGTTGATGAAAAAGATAAAGAAATTAAAGAAATGGTTGAATGGTATCATGAATGGACATCAAAGATTTTTAAAACTAAAGCTGATACAGGATGGGTTTCAGGATGTTTAGACCTTAAAGCGGATAAAACTTATGTTAACAATGAGTTAGAGAAGAAAGCGGATAAGGAATATGTTAACGATGAGTTAGAGAAGAAGGTGGATAAAACATATGTTAACGAAATATACCAAAGTTTGATAGGAACAACGAAAAATATTGAAACTATTGTTGGTGACTTTTCTGTCAATGAAGAAAATAAATATTTTAGATGGCAGTTTGTACAGTCCTTAAAAAATGGTACACGGTGTAAACTCATTCCGAAAAATAACAATGAAATGTATGTAAGTTATAAAAAGAATGATGGCACACAAGTTAAAGTTCCATTAGACAACAACTGTTACTTAAACTTATATGGAGACGAACAAAAGAAATATTTAAGAGTTTATGAAATGACAGATATGACATTGCCTGACCCAGCTCCAGCACCATATTATTATGACTATGGAGATGATGTCAGAACACCACATGTAGATGAACAAAAGTTAACATTATATTTAGATTATTATAGATATAAAAGATATAATGCAATAGAAAAAACGAGAATAGTATATTATTATACAGATGACAGAAATAAATATTATAGTCAAGATTTTACCTACCCTGAAAACATAAGATTATATTATAAAAAATATTCTGACACAAACCAGAAGAAACCTGAAATAGTTACACTATATTTTAAGTTCAAAAGAGACAATCCTATAATATCTCATATGTTTGATTTAATGAACCCAGTAGGTTCTATTTATACATCTAGTAATGTTTGGTGTTGGTGCATGGGAACAAATAGTTGACAGGTTTTTGTATTGTGCAAACTCTTCAAAGGAAACAGGGGGAAGTAAAACGATTTCAGGTGAAAATTTACCTGCACACAGTCACTACATAGATTTAAGTACATCTCAAGCAGGTTGGCATAAGCATAGATATTGGGATTGGTCAGGAATGACAAAAGGTAAAGGATATGATGTTAAAGACAACGTTAAGTTTGCCATAAATTGTTACTGGAGTGACACTCAGGGAGAAGGAAACCATACACATCACGTTTCAGGATATACACAAACAACGGGACAAAGTAAAGAATACATGCCACCTTACATGACAGTTTACGCATGGTATAGAGTTCAATGAATGAACTAAATATATTTTATGTCTGTAATTAATTAGGTAATGAAGTAATGGATGAACTGCAGAAATAAATGTTTACGTTAATGTTTACGTTAAGTGACTCAAAGAGTCCGGAGACAAAGTCTCATGTTTTAGGTTATTCAATAATTAATTATTTTTGAAGAACTGAAGGTGTCACCACGTCACCATGTCACCAGGTTAATTAACTTCTCTGAAAAAATGAGACAACATGACATTTTGACAACATCACAGGAGGAAGGCAGTTATGAATTATTTTTGAAGAACTGAAGGTGTCACCACGTCACCATGTCACCAGGTTAATTAACTTCTCTGAAAAAATGAGACAACATGACATTTTGACAACATCACAGGAGGAAGGCAAAAATAAATTCCAATCATACTTTATACTGCCTCATTTACAGGTATTTCATCGTCAGTAAATGAATCCTCATTATCGTTTGGTTCAACCTGTTTATATAATCCTTTCATTTCTTCTTTCAAAACATAACACCATGTTTGTTTACCATCTATTCTTCTCTGTTTCCTATCACATTTATCCTTAATGCTCATTTGGAAATTCTTGTCTTTCATGTCTGATGGTTTGCAGAATAGAGCATTTTTACATGTCATACCTGCACTCAATTCATCATAATGTGTATTTATCCATTCATCTAAAGGATTTGTTGATAATTCAATTAAATCTTGTTTGGCTTCAGTCATCGGTATGATTCGTACATTAAATGATGAAAGGTCGTAATTGATAAAATATGTTAAAAGGTTATCATAAAATTCCTTTGTGCATGAATCCATCAAATTCTTGAAGTAATCAAATTGACCCTTGAATTTACCATTAACCCTTAAAACTACGTATCTTCTGTCTCCAACTTCAATTTTGACAGGGTAGACGTTATTAGTTACGAAAATGAAGTTTGCAACGTTCTGAGCAGTTCTTCTGGGTTGATTCTTTTCATTAATTCTTATCTCATTATCCGTAATAATTGATTTCAAAGCGTTGAAGTTTGCGAGTCTGTCTTCACCTACATTCTTGAGTTCATTAAGTACAAGAAACATTTTATTCTCAACTACTGAGTTGAAATTACCCGTTAGCTCACTTATTTCAGTAATGTTTTTACATGAATAACCAGCGAGAAGTTCAGAAATAATGTCTGTGAATCTGTTTTTACCTGTTCCCTGAAGTCCTTTCAAAATAATTGCTGTTTCATTCTTGATTCCAGGATGTTGAATCATTGATGCAATCCAGCCGAGAAGGTATTTATACACTTCATCGTTATTATCACAAATGGCTTCTTTAATGAAATCCATAAACATCTCAATTTTTGAGTAATCAGGCTTTTCAAGAATGTTGTATTTATAACCCTGAAACATTGAGAAAACATCTGGGGAATCAGATTTAAAGCAAACACCCTTAACGGTTAATGAGGATAATTGATTTAATAGTACGTCCCATGCTGTTATGGTTTTACCTTCTTCTTTAAATAATTTAATCATTTTGAGTGACTCTTTCATGTTTGATTGAAGAACGAATGATATTTGATTCATTTTGTCGTGGATATTATAGTCCTTTTGAATGAAATATTTGTTTCCACAATCTACAAAACGGATTACACGTGATAAATCCTCAATTACTTCAGAACTGTTTTTATACTGATGATTTTCAGCCCTGCGTCTAATATCTGTTATCAAAAACGAGTCATCAAGTTTGATATCAAATGTTATTTTTGGCTTACGTAATAAAGGTAAAACATATTCATCATAATATTCCTTTTGATAAAGTTTTAGAATCTTCACCAAAACAAATGGAGAAGTCATTAAATGTGCATATCTACTACGTGCTTTTTCAAAATTACTTTTTGCATTTTCAGTTAAATTGCAGAAATTATAAACGTTATCGTATGCTTCATTAATTAAATGATTAGGTAACGAATTAATTGCTTGAAACAGTGTGAATAATGTAACTTCTTTTTCTAAATTCATGTTTCCACCATCATTATGTACTTCAAAATCACTAATGCCATCAACTATGCTCTGGGCAAGTTTATCGTCAATGTTTACATCTTTGTTTTCATTCATGATAGTCTTTATTTCTTCGTTCTTCTGTTCAACTCTTACCTTAATATTCAAATCATTTAATATATCATTCACTGTTCTAGTTAATGTTGAATCATAACTTCCACGAATGAATGAGTATGTATTGATTGGTTCTGTTGCATTCTTGCGAACTCTTGAATCAGCCATAACTACTAAAGAACGCTTTGAATCATCCATAGAAGTCATGATATCGATATCATAATCATTGCAGGAATAACATTTAATCATTCTGTTCGAAACTGCATAGAAGAAATTAGTGTTGCAATAAATGTGAAGACCTCCTGAAGCGGTTTTAACGATAACATCTTTATCCGAAAGTTTTGATAAAATATCTTTTCTAACTGTTTCTTTAAGTTCATCATTGTATGATTTATTGATATCAACATCTATAATCGTTAAATTTGAAATTTTATTTACTAATAAAGCCACACCAGTTTTCCTTCCTCTTCCTCCATCATGTTTGAGGTAGTTATGTAAATCAATCTTGTTTTCACCAATTCTTTCGTTGAGGGTTTTAGTTTCTGCCACAACTAATTCCTCAGCTAATGAATCAATAACTTTTTCATCAGAAACGATATAGTTGTTGTTGTTGTTGTTTGTTGCTGTCATTTATATAGGAATAAAAAAATAAAAATAATTTTAAAACTAACTTTATTTTTGGACTGCATCATATTTCCAGGATTGTTGTCAAAATGTCATGTTGTCTCATTTTTTCAGAGAAGTTAATTAACCTGGTGACATGGTGACGTGGCGACACCTTCAGTTCTTCAAAAATAATTCATAACTGCCTTCCTCCTGTGATGTTGTCAAAATGTCATGTTGTCTCATTTTTTCAGAGAAGTTAATTAACCTGGTGACATGGTGACGTGGTGACACCTTCAGTTCTTCAAAAATAATTCATAACTGCCTTCCTCCTGTGATGTTGTCAAAATGTCATGTTGTCTCATTTTTTCAGAGAAGTTAATTAACCTGGTGACATGGTGACGTGGTGACACCTTCAGTTCTTCAAAAATAATTCATAACTGCCTTCCTCCTGTGATGTTGTCAAAATGTCATGTTGTCTCATTTTTTCAGAGAAGTTAATTAACCTGGTGACATGGTGACGTGGTGACACCTTCAGTTCTTCAAAAATAATTAATTATTGAATAACCTAAAACCATTAACGATAAAATAAGTGATAACAAATTTTTATTTTTATCATAAATGGATACCCCACAAGCTCAAAATTTACCACGAATCATAACAAGGGAGGAAACGATAAAAATGATGCGAGAACTTGCTAAAAATAACAAACCACTAAAACTGAGAAAATGTGGTTATGCAGTAATGATGGAAAGAGAGACGTTGTCAAAGAGGAATAAAAATTAAATTTGGATTGAGTTTAAAAATTCATCTTTATTAAATTCATCTCTTCCAATCAATTTATTTATTCTATTAAATTCTTTTATTTTTGCTTCACTCAGTTTAAGGATTGAACGGTAAGTTTCTAATTTTTCGATTATTTCTTTCCTCTCTTTATCGTTTTCAACCCCACCGCATTGCGGCTTCTTTTTGTAATAGCATATTTTTGATTTAATTCTGTTTAGTTTCTTTTTATATTCATCGTCTGGACTCTTGACTGCTTTGTTGTCACTCATTTCTTACGAAATAAAAAAAATTAAATATTATTTAAATATAATGGAGCAATAAAATAAATCGGAATTTCTATTAATTTATTGTCAACTTCAACTAATACATTACCGTTAATATATCTAACAAATTCAGCTATTGTGTCAAATCTTCGTCTTCTTTTTGTCATTGATTTATCAGTTTTTCCATAATCGAGATGAATCAAAACTTTATCCCCTTGTTTAAAATTCATGAGCCCCGAATTAATTTGTTCACGTTTAACATCATTTAACCTTTCCATTTGTTTTCTAATATATTCCCATTCTTTTGAAATATCATTTTTCATTTCCATTGGTTTCATGTTTATAGTTCTATGCCATGTATTATTGTAATAATATACTAACTGCTGTATGATGGAGTCATGATTTCCATCCCAGTATATCTGACCGTTAACCCCTAACGCATCTCTAAGAGTTCTCATTACCGCATCAACTATTTTATTATGAAACGTATATGGAGAGGATGAAAAGAAAAAATTAATTTGTGGGAAATAATGAGTCATAGCTGCCTGAAATCCTTTATCACCATCACCCCTGATATTATCTACTCTTTCATGATCTAGTAAGTATTGAATAGCTCTTCTTGTTTCCTGTTCTGTTTTCCCTTTCACCGGAATGCAATTTAAATATCTAGTGTTAATGTTAATGGCAAATAAATAAGTAACGTTTCCTTTTGAATATTCCAGATGATCGATTTCGTATGAATATGGATATGGAGCAAATGAAGGTCGACTAAATTTTTCCTTTAACGGTTGAATTTTTGGGTCAATTGGTTTATTTAATATCTTGAAATCCTTTTTAAAATCTTTTTGCTTCTTTAATGTTTGAAATGGATATAATAAAGTGAATGATGAAGGATTAACTGAAGGAGGAGGCGGTACTGTCGTTGGAGGTTTTGGTGTTGCAAGTGGTTTAATTTTATCTGCTTTGATTTTGGATGATGAAGTTTTGGATTTCATTCCTTCCTTCATTAATTCTGGATGTATTCTATTCATTTGTTTTAAATATGCTGTATATAAAGGTTTGATATACTTTCCCGCTTCGAGTTTATGTTGAAGGATGAATTCCAAAAGTTGATCTTCATTTAAAAGTCGGGCTGAATATGGTTTAACTAATGAATCATAAATTAAAGCTTGTGCTTCATTTATGGTCTGAAGGACCTGGGTGTTTTGCACCTTTTGTTTTTGCGGCTCATGATTATATAAATTATATAATTCATCAATATCTTCTTCTGTTAATACTTTATTTTTGAAATCTTTCAACTGTTTAAGTTGTGATTTAGTTTTTCCCTTTGAATATTCATTATTTTTAATTTTGTCTTTAATTTCAGAAATTATTTTATTATGATATTTCAAAATTTCATTTTTATAATATGGATAATAATATTCCATATCATCACCCGTTATATAATTATTATGTTTTTGGAGATATGATTTTAATTCATAATAATTAAGAAAATTTTGATTAAGTACTAAATTATCAATTAAAATTTTTAAATCTACGCTATCCATTTATATAAAAATAAAATAAGTGTTTTAAGGGTGCCCACCTCTTTGAATCATAGTATCAAAACCATCATTAACGGTTCCTTTTGTCTCTTCTGTGGCATTTCATTAAAAATAAAATTTTAAATTGTATTAAATAAATGGCATACAACATCCATTTTCACAACATACAGCCTTAGTGTGTGCTCCTGTTAATGCAGTCTTACCAATTGTTAAGCGAGTCATTGACCCGTTTTTAAGTTGTAAATTAATATTCTGACCATCAAATATCAATTTATCATTTATTATATCCAAATAATTTTTGGGTGTTAATTGTTTATTTTGTCGTAAACTAACACCTTTCATTTTTTGTGCAATCTTTTTAAAATCACTTCCATCAATTGAACCGTTGAATGATGTATAACACTTAGGACATAAAGCAACCATGTTATCACCTTGTTTCTCAATTGCTAAACCCAATAACTTCTTCTCATGTGCTTTTTCTTCAGCTTTATTCTTTAATTTAGGTTTAAATTTCTCATCAAAACAGAAGAAATCAAATGGTGCGAATTTGAAAATGTTTTTATCATAAAATTGTTTATCAGTAACAATTGCTTGAAATGCTTGAGTGTTAGGAAGATTTGGGTCGCCAGCGATTGCCCAATAAGATGAATCAGTATCACCTTCAATGAAATGAAAACGATTAAGATTCATGCATTTATACATAAAATCATAAATGAAAACCAAATACCAGTATTTAGCATTATCTAAAGTGAAGAATGCCTCTTGTAAACATGTATCACATCTATAAAATCTATCTTTGAGCATCACTTGATACGTATCCTCTCCTATTTCTCTTATGTTTTTAAACTTATTTGACATACATGCAACGCGTGACTTCTGTGCATTCATTATTTTAGTCTTTGTGTAATTTTGTGTATTCATTGCATCGTAACCATATGATCCATTAAGTGAAATCTTGCAAAATAAACTTTTTCCTTTATTTCCTTCTAATTCAGCCTTTTGTCTTTCGTTCATAAATTCGTTCGCAAATTCATTAAAGCAAGTGTTTTTCGTAAATGTTAAAATTGATTGAATATCATCGATGATAAAATGAAATCTGTCTATTAGATACCAAAGATAATAAGAAGAAAATGGTTGATATTGGTTGTGTGTTGATGCTAACTGAGTTAATTTCCTCTGTTTCTGGTCAACTGGTAGATTGTTTGATTTCATGTAATTATACATAAAACTGCCAATTGTTTTTTCATCTGTGATAATATCTAAGTTTCTTATTATCGGTAAAAAGTTTATGTAATCATTAATGTATTTTTCATCAATGTGACCCTTTACTTCAGCCACGAATAAAGTATTTTTCTTCTTAATTATTCCCAGTGCTTTTGCTTTCTTTGTTGCTGTATCACAAATGATAACACCATTCAATCTTCCCGGCATATACATTTTATGGTCAGTATATTGAATGAAATCATGAGGATTAGATGAAAATGATGAAGGATATAATGAATTAAAGTCAACTCCAACGAAATGAGTCATAATGTTGGTGGTGTCCTCATTTGATACAGTTTTAGTTTCTGGATTATATGAAAGTTTATTAATGTGCGTGATTCCTTTAAGATTAACACGATGTTGAACATTTGATAGACCACCAGTAATTCCATTACGGAGAATGTGATAAGCTTCAACTGAATCTAAAGTCATTGGTAAATTATTTTTTAATGCATAATTTCTTAAATTGATTCTTAAACGTTGAACATCTTCATCTTTATTTGATTTTACGACATTGCAATAACAACACATTAACTGACAATTTTCTTTGGTATGTGGTTTTTCATTATCGATTCTATCCAATGTTGGTTTATTTACATATGTAAACGCTTTACCACACATTTTGCATTTAGATGAAAGGATTAAATCGTGATAGTATTGATAGTCATCCATTGAAACATTGTTTTTAGTATCCCTTTCCGCTTTTTCATCTTGTTTCTTATATGATTCAATTTTATATTTCCAATACTTTTTTGTTAATTCAAAACTTGATTCCACATTTTCTTCTTCTGGATATGTTTCGTTAGGATTGAAGTTCTTATATGCTAACGCGTAACGAATCATTGATGCATTCGATGATAAAGAAAGATTATGAAGCATGTCAATTTTATAAACAAATGTTTCTTCAATAATTTTATCAATTGGGTCAATCATAATTTCAACATCTTTATTGCAATAATGAATAAAATATTCTAATCTATTCTCAAAATTTTTAGCATCATTGAGATATATTTGATAATCTGAATCGGATATTGTTTCTTGTGTTAATGCTGAATAAAATGAATCTTGAGTGAATGGTTCCTTTTTATATAATTCATCTTCGTAATTCTCCCATGTGATGAATTGATAAGGGAAAAAGGATTTAACACGTGATTTATTGTTTCCGAAATCTTGAGTGAATTGGTCTAATGTTCCACCCGCTATATAATTTCTGATGTCAATAAATCTTAATTCATATGGACAGTTTGTTTTCTTTACTATGACTTGCTTAAATTGAGAAGAAGAACCCAGCATTGATTTTATCTTCCATTTTGCAGTATTTAAATCACGAAGAATTAAATTTAAATCAAACTTTCCCGAATTAAAACCAATGATATTCACTTTATTAAATTCTTCATCTAAAAGCTCTTTCATTGCTTCCTTTTGTTTCTCATTTAATGTATTCATTAATTCTTCATAGTGTTCAATATTTGATTTAGCAACTAATGAACAGGTTGAAAATAAAAATTCAATCCAATCAGAGATGAACGAATCACTTGATGTTAAGCAAAAATTCCTCGTAAATGTTTTATCACGGTCTACGACCTCGCCGCTTTGCGGCTTTATTTTGACAGTTGATGATACCATAAATGGTTTTAAGTAAGCGTTCAAAGTTGCACATTCAGAAAGTTGAAGTTCTTCTTTAGTCTCTAATGTTTCGAAGTCAAAAGTAATATAATATCTTGTTGGTTTATAATATTCCTGCAAATTATGTGCTAATAGCCATTGATATATCTTCTGTTTCGTGATATGTGGTGCATATGGTTGTTGTGTGTTTTGCAATTGAACGTCTTGAATTAATCTTCCATTATTTTCTTTACATTTCTCACAATGTTTTAAAAATCTTCTTTGGTTTTTCCTTTCTGGATCATCACGGATAGAATAAACTTCTTCTTTGCAAAAGGGGCAAACTTTATATCCTGTGAGTGCTTCAACGTCTGTAATTCTGTCAGCGTGAAGTTTTCCACATGGACTCTGTGTTAATAAAATATTTACTGTTTCAAATTCTGGATCTATCATTATTGATTCCACTAATGGAAAGTCTACCTTGTTAATGTCTACGTCTTCTGGTTGAGGGTCACAATAATAAAAATCAATATTAACGTTTAACATTCTTGCTAACCTCTCACTTTCTGATGAAATGTCAAATCCTTCATATGCATCTATGGCTTCATTTAAATAACTTCTACGAGTTTTAGGATTAACACCATCAGGAATGTTATAGAAGCGTTTAAATAACCTTCTACCTTCGGCTCTTATTTGATTATCATTCATTTTAGCTGTTCCATTTTTGTTCATTTATGTAAGAATAAAAATTAAAAAATAAATAAGAATAAAGTTTATTTTTTTTTAAAGTCCGAGACTCAGAGAGTCCAGGGCTAAAGTCCATAAAATGAATTAAGAACACATAAATTTTTATCATCTGCGACGTGACGAATACATTTTAATTTACTCAAGAATGCGTACCCTGATACATTAAATCTAATTCCTGTCTTATTTAATTTCACAACTTTGAAAAGGAATGTATGAATAGCTATAAAATGATGAGATGATGTTTTATGGGTTGCTTCCATTTTTTCTGAAATAAATGAATAAATATAATGTTTATAAGTTTTCATATCTTTTATGTTCTTAATAACGAATGGTATAGACCTTTCAACTTCGTCTTCCTTCGGTGCTGTTCTTTCATATGAAACATTATTGGTATCTTCAATAATGAAACCACAATCGCATAAAATTTTATATGTTCCAATTGTTTCTTTTGATATTTTATCTAACAAATCAAAAACTTTATCAACACCTGTACATTTATTTAAATAATAATTTGTGTAAATATCATGGTCTTCTTTCTTAATCGTATTTGTTGCATATGTTACATTTTTCAGTGCTTTTTTGAATTTTTCAGAATCAAGAGGAGGTGAAAGTAATATACATGGATAATCTCCATCGTCAATAAACTGAAGCTTATGTTTATGAATAAATTTTGTGCCTTCTTCTGAAAGTGTTTCGTCAATATCACCATCTAATAAATTTTTAGTAGATTCTGAGACATAATTTTTATATCTTTCTTCATGAGATTTCTGAACTTCTGATTCTGAAGCTGGGATATTCATTAAACCCTCTACTTCATTTTCATTATATTTTTCAACTTCTCTTAATTCCTTAATTTTTTCATCTATTTCATCTCTTATTTTTTCCAGTTTTTCAATTTCATTGTATTCATCATCATCTTTAATCCGTTCTTCATAATATTCAGGGAAAACATCAGGTTCTTTAGGTTTTTCTTCTTCAGATGTGGGATATAAGAAATTTATAACATCATCTTTATTCATTTTTCCATCATAATCTAAATCATTTAATAACTCGGCAAATTTTTGACAATTTCTTAAATAATATTTACTAACTTCATAACACATCTCATCTAATATATCCTTTATTTCCTCGTTTGTGAATCCTAATTTTTTAACGTTGTTAGTTTTGACACTCATTTCATACAAAATAAAAAATAAATTATTCAAAAATGTAAGACATGAATTTTTAAAGTTTATTTTTTTATTTCATTATGGTAGTGAATCTTTCATTCATGAAAATAATTATTTCTAATTTCTTTTACTCTCTCGTATATACTAGATTTAAAGAATTCAGAACTTTTACCATAATCTCCTAAACGTTTTCTTATCCCTAACGTGTGCCAGTTATTATGTGAAACTGAATAAACTTTATCTTTATCTTTACACCTTTCATCACTTCCAATATATTTATATCTCAGTTTTGATTTAGCATTTTCATATTCATTAACGTTTAATAATTCACAGTCTTCCTTTTTAAATAAATGTTTTATGTATTCAGGATTTAATACTCTACGTTTATATGCTCCTAACTTAGTTCTAAAGGTTTTTCTACAAAATTTAGGAATTCCATCCTCTTTAATGTCATCAATGATTTCCATTTCATTATTTTCAATTTCTTCTTCTCGTTTATGAGGTCTTTGATTATGACTCCATTGATTCCATGAAATTAAATATTCTTTATCATTATATTTATACCTCATTAGCTTATTTTGGCTTTCATATTCATTTAATAATTCACAATCTTCATTTTTAAATTGAAGTTTAACCCATTCAGGATTTAAACAATGTTTAATTAATCGCGGAATATCTGACATCATCTATATATAGCTTCTTTTATAAAAGATAAAAAATAAATTATTTTAAAATTAATGTTAATTTTTTAAAATGTGTTTATTTTTTAAAAAATTTTTTATCTTTTTTATTTCATTATGTATGGGTTGAGTGTATAATATTTATTACTAATTTATTTAATAATGTCGCACTTTCTTACAAATTCATGACTTAAAAAACGTAAGAAAAAATTTTATATCATCTATGTATAGAGGCTGGGAAAACATACCTTCATCTATATATAGACGTAACAAAAAAAGTCACACAACCCTTCATATTCTACTACTAATTTCAATACTTTACAAAATTATTTATTTAAGCTATATTCTATTACTCCATTCATGTCTCATGAAGAATTTGTACTTACAATGCATATAATTAATCAAAATAAAGTTGATTCGATCAAAGATTATATTGATTATTTCAACAAAGTTTGGTTGCCGCACTACAATTTAATATCTCAATATAATAATGCAACTGCAATATTCACTAATGATTGCCTCGAGAGTATGCATTCAGAATTTTCTTCGTTAAAACATCCAAACATTTATGAAGCTATTAAGAAGATATCTCAAATCCAATTAGATAAATATAACGCCATCAAAAATAACCAGAAGATCGAGCGCCATATAAAAACCGTTATCACTGATAGCTACAAAAATTATATTCTTGACTGCTTTCAAAAAGAACTTGAGAAAACAATTTTTTCTATCAAACAATACAACGTAAGTGATCTTTCTTTGGCTCAGAACGAGATTTCTCCATATGGTTCCATAGAATCGAGTTCATTGTTCGAAAATATTCCAGTTCATGATGCAGATATACTCAAATCGATCGATCTAACAGATAAAGATACAATTATCACTAAGTTTATTAATGAAAAAAGAAAAAATTATGGCATTATTTAATGAAACATTAAATCATCCAGATTTTAATTCATCCACTCCAATTCAAACTAATTTTGAGCAAGCCGATACAAATCAAGGTTCAGATGCTCCAATTCGCTCCGAAAATTCAAATATTGCAGACTCTACAGATTTAGAACCAGAAAATCAAAACCATCCTTCTACAAATCAAATGTCTAGTAATCTAGAACATAAGCTGGACCTTCTTGATCATATTGAAAAACAATTATCGAAAATGCGCTCGTTATTGGGAATTCTTCCTACTACAAATGCTATTCTTGGGCCGTCAAAACAAGTTTCAGTTAATAGCAAGCAAAATTCTGAAAAAATAAGAAAAAATCTTCCATAACAACAAATCAAACAATAAAAACAAAATTCATCCGACAATCCTCCTAAACGTAAAGCTCCTATTTCGGAAAGGATTCTCAGCGATAATAACTTATATTTTCAAGTTCATCGAAAGAGATCGAAAAGCAAACGTTCCACATCTACAGAGAAAAAAGAATTGATATATGAAGTCTAATTCCTTTTATAACTACTATATTTTTATTCTTATGACTAAAAATAATATATTATTTAACAATTTTCATTTTTTTCTTTTAACAATTTCGTTTATTTCCATTTATTGTTAAATGATTTTTAGCATACACCTTTCTTTGTTCATCTTCTAAATACAATTTATTTTTTCTTAGATATAATTCTATTCATTCAATTCGATCGTCATTTTTCAGTACATGATCGTAATTTTCAATTATTGATCGCGATTTTACTTCAGAATTTGTTCGCAATATTGCTTATCAAAAATATATCTCTATTCTCTCATTTCTGTTTAGTCAATATCATTACACTCCTATTGTCTAATAATGCTATTAATTTTCTTAAAAAAAAAAAAATCAACTTTTAAAAACAGAAACTTAACATCCTTAGGTCAATGGATTTTGATGTGAGATACATTTAATCTGTTTTTCTTTTTTTATTTTAAATAATTGAATATTTATAGTTGTTATGGGTCTTACATCATGTAAAACGAATTTTCTTAAAGTAAATTTACTTTTGCTTCAATCTTTCTTACATATTTATTAAAAAAAATTATCCAAAAAAAGATGTTTTAGAATGAAAAAAAAATAGAAAAATCTTCATTTATAGTCTTTCTTGAATGTATACGTTTTGATTTTTTTCTTTTTTAAAAAATTCAATTTCTAGAAAAATCGAGAAAAAATCATTTTCTTCTATTTTTAGGACGCCATACCCATTGAAATCTCCTCTCAGGACGCCATAAACTATTCAATTATGGTGTAAACTTCTCAAAAATTGAATAGTTTACATCAGGACGCCTTAGGACGCCAACCCTTTACGCGCCCCATCATTTTATTACATAAACTTTCTTTTAATATCAATAATTATTTTACGGCATTCACTTTATTTTAATATCAATCATCGTTCTATTTGATTCTCTTTCTTTTAATATCAATAATTATTTTATGACATTCACTTTATTTTAATATCAATCATCGTTTTATTTGATTCTCTTACTTTTAATATCAATCATCGTTTTATAGAATTCACTTTCTTTTAATATCAATCATTGTTTTATAACATTCTCTTTCTTTTAATATCAATCATTGTTTTATTACATTCTCTTTCTTTTAATATCAATCATCGTTTTATTTGATTCTCTTACTTTTAATATCAATCATCGTTTTATAGAATTCTCATTCTTTTAAAATCAATCATCGTTTTATTTGATTCACTTTCTTTTAATATCAATCATCATTTTATGACATTCTCATTCTTTTAATATCAATCATCATTTTATGACATTCTCTTTCTTTTAATATCAATCATCGTTTTATGAAGTTCTTTTTATATTAACGAATGTCCACTTAGCATTGCAATTAAACAAAATGCACACGAAATTATCAAATTATTAATTGAACATGGAGCAGATATCAATATTAAACTTATTAACTTTCTTTTAATATCAATCATCGTTTTATAGAATTCACTTTCTTTTAATATCAATCATTGTTTTATAACATTCTCTTTCTTTTAATATCAATCATTGTTTTATTACATTCTCTTTCTTTTAATATCAATCATCGTTTTATTTGATTCTCTTACTTTTAATATCAATCATCGTTTTATAGAATTCTCATTCTTTTAAAATCAATCATCGTTTTATTTGATTCACTTTCTTTTAATATCAATCATCATTTTATGACATTCTCATTCTTTTAATATCAATCATCATTTTATGACATTCTCTTTCTTTTAATATCAATCATCGTTTTATGAAGTTCTTTTTATATTAACGAATGTCCACTTAGCATTGCAATTAAACAAAATGCACACGAAATTATCAAATTATTAATTGAACATGGAGCAGATATCAATATTAAACTTATTAACTTTCTTTTAATATCAATCATCGTTTTATAGAATTCACTTTCTTTTAATATCAATCATCGTTTTATTACATTCCCTTTCTTTTAATATCAATCATCGTTTTATAGAATTCTCATTCTTTTAAAATCAATCATCGTTTTATTTGATTCACTTTCTTTTAATATCGATAATTGTTTTATGAAATTCTCTTTCTTTTAATATCAACCATCGTTTTATAGAATTCTCTTTCTTTTAATATCAATCATCGTTTTATGAAGTTCTTTTTATATTAACGAATGTCTACTTAGCATTGCAATTAAACAAAATGCACACGAAATTTTCAAATTATTAATTGAGCACGGTGCTTCAAAATAGTTTGACCATAACACTTTCTAACATCCATGATTAAATAAAATCAATTTATGCAATAAAATTATTTCCAAAGAGTTTTTCATTTATAAAAATCTTTTATATATTACTTTTTATAAACATTATTTATCATTGGTTAACAAAACATAATAATCATGAATTGGTAACCAAAATCAATCTAAACATGAGTTCATCTCATGTATCCAATATAGTTTTCTTCAATTCGAAGACAATTTTCTGGTCTTTCACTGATTTTCAACAAGAAAGGTCCAACATTCGGTAATTCGAAGTCTCCGAAGGCCACTTAGAATTCATTGGCTGCAATTGTCGTCACGCACTTTATCAAATTCGCCCATTCGCCTTCAGAATCAGAATCCCAGTAAGAAAGTGCCAAAGACAAAGTTCTTCCGCTGAATACGTCAGCAATCTCATCGTGAGTGACAACATAAGGCATCTTTGAAATTTGGAGGCCAAATTCGACTGGATAACCTGACATAATCTTCATGTAGCCTCTGACAATCAAATGCATGTCAGTGCCACAATCTGCGCACGAATGCTTCTTAGTAAAGCCTGTTCCTCTGATTGATAAAATCATTGGAAGTTTGAGGCAGTCTTCGATGATATCTTCTGAATAATTAAATCCTGGTGTACAGTTCACCTTTCTTTACAACCCTTCCCTGGCCAATTATTGAGCCGTTTCCGATAACTGCGCCTTCTTGGATAGAATAACCATCTATTAAGGTGATATTGGAACAGATGACAGCATTATCATGTATAGTTATGCCTATTCAGATGCGAATTGGACTATCAATTTTCGGCGGCTGGATCAACAATGACTCAGCTTGAAACATATGCATTTTCGGTCAAAATGCTATTATCTAAGGCAATTGCGCAGTGCTAAGCAAAGTATTATTTTGAAGTTGAGCTGTTGGCGAAAACATTGCTTCTAGGCTGAAAAACAACATTCTCATGCTTGTCTTATATTAAAAATCAATGCTATTATAAAAGGCATCTTGTGTTTATTATGAAATTATAGTGAAATTATTCCCATTCTTTGCTCGTTTTCATTGGAAATTGTCAATCAATTAATCGTTAATAGAGTTCTGTTAATGCATCCTAGAAACCTCATCTGAGGTAGCGAAGAAGGAATTATCTCAATATATTGCCTTAAAATTTCGCAAACTTGAATTTTTTTCTCGAAAATTTGTCACTTTTTATAGGATAACGTACATTGATGCAAGATAGTTCATACTTAAGAGTTGTTCCAGATGCAATTACGTTTCGGGATCTCAAACAAGGAGAATCCGATACTGTTGAAGTTTGGGCAACAAATATTGGCAGATCTCCCATTGGAATTAGATTTTCAATTCCACCGGGTTCTCCATTTGACTTAATACAAACTCAATCAGTTATTACACCTCCTGGACTTGAAGCAAAGGCATCAATTAAGTATACAGCAAAAGATTTACAAGCATATTCATCTGAATTAACAATTAGCTGTTCAAAGTCGAGAATAACAATACCTATTACAGTTTCACCACCATGTCCTCGTATTACATCCGATGTACAAAATTTAAAGCTCGGAACTATTGGCGTTAATCTTCCGTATAAATTTGCGATTTCGTTAACTAACATTGGTGTCAAAGAAGGACCATTTTCACTTAAGAGTGAGTTTGACTCGATAGAATTTTTACCGCAAAATGGCGTAATTCTACCTAGTAAATATCAAGAAATATCAGTAACGGTAAAACCTCAACAAGCAGGCGATTTCAATTTCCAAATCGATGTAGATTTCAATGGAGAATCGGAACCTATACAACCTATCAAAGTAAGTGGAACAGCCGTTCCTCATTCGCTTGCATTATACATAAACGACAAAGAAGTCAAAGAATTAGATTTCGGAACAATCTTTTACGGACAGAAACGTATAATAACCGCTACAATTGTCAACAATGGACCTGCAAAAAGATCATTTGTTGTTCTTGGTTCAAGAGAAGATGCAGCAGCCACAGGATCAACAACATCTAATGAAGAAGATCCTATTGATCAAATATTTTCGGTTATGCCTTCAGAAGGAATGCTTGAACCGCATGGAAAAATGAATGTTAACTTTTCTTTTGCACCACCAAGTCCGAAGACACCAATTATCGATGATATAGATCAGTTATTTACAGCTTATAATACAATTGAAGTTGTTGAAACAGCACAACATATTGAAATTCAATTAAGTGGAAAAGGAGTTCATTCTTTTGTCCAATTATCATCATACGACTTCATGTTTGAGAAGTGTGAACGTAATGTTAAGCAGGAAAGAGAATTAAAGATAACAAATAATTCAAGATTTTTGCCGTTGAGTTATAAAGTCAATCCGATAGCACAATATCGATTTAAACCACCTTCTGGTACTATTGATCCTCATTCCTCTAAAGTTGTTAAAATTATTTTCTTCCCGAAGAATTATGGAGAATTTAATTTGACAACTATTGTAAATTTAGGTGAAGGATTGATCAAAAAGGTTATAAATCTTAATGCTGTTTGTGGACAGATCACAGATCATCCTTTCCGAAGAGTTCCGCAATATGAAACTAATGAAATAGCAAATTACAACGCTTACCATCCAGATACAAGATTTTCTGATGGCATTGAGGGCCTCAGGAGAACAAAGAAGCTCAGAGAAACATTTGACGGCTACATTACTGATTATGCGAGAAAAAGAGAAGTTAAAACAGCAATGCAACAGTCAAGAACCAAACTACGTAACCAAGCAATATCATATTTGCAGTCAACACAAGGTACTTACACTCAAGAAGATATTGATGAGTATTTACAGACACAAAAGAGAGCTCAAACAGCAATGAACAGCATTGGCCTTGATATGGATCCATATGAAGACTTAAGTCCTCCAGATCCAAAGATCAGAAACACTCCTCTTCCTTCAGAATTTAATGATCCTCTCAAAAGTATTTACGATACACAGAATACAGATGCTGCAAGTGCAATTATGAGGGCAAAGAAAGTCCAAATGGACGATAACGTCCTTATTAAGAAGAAATTCAAATCTAAACCAACAACTCCAGCCGAAATTAATGAATGCAGCAGGCCATTAACACCAGCTCAGCAATTAATGGTTGTTGCTTCCCATCAAAATATGAATTTCGGACAAGTTTCTGTTCATTCAAATATTGCAAAATCATTTACAATCACAAACAACCTCCAACAGCATATTTTAGTAACTATTAACTATGAACATGAAGAATTATCCAAGAGTACGCCATCTTCTCAGATAGTTCTTCCAAAACAAACTGCTGGATTTGATATCCGCTTTTCAAGTCCAAACCAACAGAATTTCTCCAAGACAATCCAATACAGTATCAATCACCATCACACTTACTCCCTTAATATCACTGCAAAAGTCGTTCCCATTGACTTACAATTATCTCGTAATTTAATTGAGTTCAGATTCTCACCGGACTCTATCACGCCATTCATCAAAGAGTTCGTGATCATCCAGAACAAGTCAAATGCCGAAGCTTCTTACATGTGGACAGGCATGTCTTCTGTTTTTTCACTCAGCCAATCGAGTGGAACGATAGAACATCTGAAATCTCACAATATAGAAATCACTTATACTCCTACAACAAATGCACACGATGAGACGACATTGCTGCTTAATGTTACAGGCGGCTCAAGTCGTTCATTGAAGTGCATTGGTGATATTGGAGTTCCGAAATGTTCATTGAACAAGAAATTTGTGAATTTCGGATTGATTCCTATCGGTATACAGAAGACACAATCAATTAAGATCAAGAATACAGGCGATGACGATGCAATTTATACTATTAGTTATACGAATGTCAATGAATTGCAAGTTATTCCTCAAAATGGTCGAATTGCAGCTCACGAAAGTCAAACATTCCAATTGAGTTTCAAGAGTTTGCATGCAAATCCATTCGATATTCCTGTTGTTGTTTCTATTGCCGGTTCCAATCCATTATCTTTCAATGTAATGGGACAATCTGAATTACCAAGTGTTCAATTATTAAATAGTGAATTTGAATTCGGCCGATTATTTGTTGGTTCATCAAGTTCAATTGAAGGATGTATCCAGAACACAGGTAACATTCCAGCAATATTGTTCTTAGATCTTTCTAATCATCCTGATTTCAGAATAGAATTCTCTACAGAACTCGCTAACGAAAGTGGTGGAGAAAACAAGAATTCTATCGCTTTAGTTTCAAATCCTGTTTTCGTTACTAAAAGCGAACAACAAGGTTTGATGTCTAGAGCAGGCTCACAAGTCAGTTTTGCTGAAACAGCAACTGATGAAACAACAGTTGATGATGCAGCAAATGGTCCAGGATTGGTCTACAAGTTCTATTTGGTTGAAGGAACACAAATTAAATTTAATTTAGTTTTCCAACCAACAGAACCAATGGAACATTCCTTTGAATTACCATTTACAATGATGAATGTAATTTCCGCATCATCATTCCATTTGCAGCCAATCGTTTCTGCTGAATCAATTAAAGCTCCTTTGACAATTGCTACTCCTTCAATTGATTTCGGTGTTGCATCAATATTTAATCCACAAAATCCACATTGTCGACCAATTGTCAGACAAATTAACTTCAATAATGAAGTCAATCAGAATTTGCCATGGCGAATTGATACTGATAAAATCAAAAAGGATAATCCAGTGTTCACTATCGAGCCAAGTTCAGGTATAATGATTCCAAACCAAACAGCAACAATTCATGTTAGTTTCATGGCAAGAGAAGCACAACCTTATATCGTCAGAATTCCTGTTTTCGTTAAAACTGACAAAGATAAAGAAGAATCAATTGTTGGAGAAATCCAATTAAGTGGTGTTGGAACATTGAAACTCTTCAGTTTATCCCAAAATAATGTTGTTCTTCCGGTTGTTCCTTTAGGTGTTAAATCACAACAAACAATTAATTTAATTAATGACGCATTCATTGAATCAACTCTTAAAGTTGAATATTCGGCAAGTGAATCCAATTTCCCTGTAAAAATCAATTTCCCAGAAGGAAATCAGATACAACACACTCAACTTTCAATTCCAATTGTTGTCACTTTTCAATCAAATAAACCAATGTCATTTTCCACGATGATTGCGATTGTCGACAACAATGGAAATGCAGCAACATTCTCTGTATACTGCACAACAGATAATTCTTTGTTTACTTTATATCCATTCTTTAGAGGTAATGAAGTAAACATCAAATCTTCGAAAGGATCTCCAATTTCTGTTGACACAAAAGTTTGTACAAAAGTTTCTGATTTATGTGGTCGCTTTATTTCCTCAACAGATATTCTTAAATTACTAGATCCGAATGAGAAATGGGAATCAGCAATGGACAAGAAGATGGTCAATTTCATGCAGAGATACATGAACGCTTTGTTACTTGGAACTCAATTATCTGATTTTCCAAATGATTTCCTTAGAAATGATTGTCAATTGATTTTGGAATTGATTTTCAACATTTCAGGAGGAAGAAGACCAAATGTTGATAACTCTGATAAAGAGAAACCAAAAGATTCAATGCAAAAACACTTGGATCAAATCAAAAGAATTTTACATTTCGTTCAATCAATGGGTTGTTTGATTTCTAATGTAAGACCAGAATTTTTGTTGCCAAGAACAGAATTCTTGTCTTTCATGAGAAACAAATTCACCAAACAATTATTGGGCATTGATTATTTCAATGCTCCTGATATTAGTTCGTTTGATCAGAATGTTATCGCTGAATTTACAGCATCGAAATCATTCTCAAACTCAATCATGCAGCACATGAAAGCAGCAGAACAACTCTACATGGAGTTAACTAAGGAAAGTCTTATGATTATATTATTACAATTATTTAAGATTTTCGTTTTAGGAAAAATTGATGTAGAACGTCTTAATCAGAGTCCTGGTGTTGCAGATGCCACAAAATCAATATCAAACATCGCTGCAAGATTCACAAAAATGGAAGATGTTGTTTCCGAAATTTGCCGACCAAACAAAAACTGCCAATCATCACCAGTTTTCTCAACAGCAGAATGTGTCTTGTTAAAATGGGTATCAATACACACCTGCAACCAATACAATGACCTCCTTAAATCAGTGAATTCCTTCAATTCATTGAATAATTCCATTGCTTATTTGGCTCTTTTGAAAGCACACACGACAATTTTGAAAATGCCATTACCTGAAGTTGTCCAAGACAATCAAATGATGAATGAATATGCTATTAATTTCACATCATCCCTTAAAGAACTGAAACTTGCTTTCTGTCCAACAGCTGATGAAATTTCAGGCGGATCTCCTCAGATGCTTGCAATTATCACAGCTTATTTGTTTGAAACACTTCCAAGATACATTTCAACAACAACTATTGAGTATCAGACGACGATTCACAAGACAATTACTAAGTCTATCAATATACAGAACCCATCCAAAGCAGAGATAACTTACAGAGCTAAATTGGAAGGTTCTCATAATTACACGATGCAAAATGATTCAATAACAATTGCTCCCGGTCAAAATTGTGATTTCAATGTAACATTCTCTGCAAGAACAATGAAACCACAAGCAGGAAGATTAATATTGAGTCCACAAAGACCAAGAGTTCTTCAAAATGATTCAACAGAGAGTTCTGCTGCAACAAGTCGTTTGTCACAAGAAGCAAGAATGCCTTCATTCTCTGCTCCTATTGTTGTTGATTTAATTTCTGATGTAACAATCACTTCACCTGACTTTTCACAAACATTTGAAGGCCAAATTTATCAGAATACTCCAATCGCTTTACCTGTTAAGAACTACATTGGTTGCAGATCAAGAGTAAAGATCTTTTCAAGAGTTTTCATGATCGCAGATGAAAATGGAAAACCATTACCTGCAATGAGACAGATTTCTCAACAAATAAATGATATGATCAATGATCCAAATGCTGTAATTGATGATGACTTGAATTCTGCTAAATCAACAGCCAAAACAGATAAAAGTAATCAATTCAATTCATTACTTAAACAGCATCAAATTTTCTCTTTCAATCAAACAGAAATCGATTTTCCAATGGAGAATTCGAAAGCTCAATTAGACTTAGAGTTCATTCCTATTGCTCTAGGAACATATAGATGCATTCTTTTGTTCCAAGACAACAACAATGGAGAGTTTGTCATAGAAGTCATTGGAAAAGCATTACTTCCTCAACCTGTTGAAGCTTGCCAGAACAAATTCAAATGTGAAGCGAATAAGAAAGTCTCTTACAATTTATCTATTGATACAATGAATGTTGGATTGATAAGAGCTTTAGCTTATTCATCTGAGAAATCACAGAACAGTTCTTTGTATTGTTCAGAAAGAAAATTCAAGGAACTCGTTCAAAGAAGACAACATGAATACGAATCCGTTTACAAACAATGGTTTTCAAGTAATGTTTTTACTGTTGTCAACAGTGCAACCCAGTATTTCGATATCGCAAATGAAGTTACTGTAAACAAAACTAACTTTGGAGAAAGTACAAAAGGAAATCATCCAAATGTTTTGCCAATAACTTTCAAACCAGTAAAAGCTGGTCAGTATCCTCTTCATTTGGTTTTGAACTCGAAATACGATATCAGATGCTTCGTAATTAATGCTGTTGGTTTGGCAGCAACGAAAGAATTATCAATAGAATTCGCAACAGTTGCAGGAAGATCTGTTAAACAAGATGTTCCATTTACAAATCCAAGTGATGAAACATGGAACTTCAAGTTTGTTATAATGGGTGATTCTTCATTCAATGTTCCTCAGAGATTGTCAGTTAAACCGAACCAAACTGGAATTATTTCAATCAACTTCAATCCAGGAAAAATCGGTCAATACGCTGCAGAATTACAAGCAACGAACACAACGAAAGAATCAACAGTTATTTACAAACTTACAGGTAATGTTGAAGAACCTCCTGCAGAAAGAAAGATTTCTATTAGTTGCCAGGCCAGACAAAGATATACAGAGAAAGTTGACATCAAACCTTTCATAAGAAATGGAAATCTTCATGTTACAACAACAGTTCCAATTATTACATTTAATTCAGACATTTTGATGGAAAATGGATCACCTAAAGAACCATGGACATTCACAGTTTTGGCACCAAGAAGTGGTGTTTCCGCTGGAACATTGACATTTACTGATCCTATCTCAGGAAATTATATTTGGTACATTGTTGAAATCCAAGTTTCTTCTCCTTCTCCTGAACAAACAATCAAAGTTACAACATTGGCAAGAAAGACAGAAACAATCAAGATTCCAATACAAAACACTAAGAAAGTTGAAGCTTATTTCAGTGTTGTCTTGAGTGATGATGATTTATTCGGAGACACAGAATTCAAAGTTCCTCCACAGTCAACAGCAAATTACGAGTTGATTGTTTCACCTCTTAAAGCGATGGCAAGAAATTCATCTGTTTACTTCTATTCTGATGACGATGGAGAATTTTGGTACGCGATAAAGATCATTGCAACTGATTCTCCAACAGAATCAATTGCTCCATTAACAAGTCCGATTGGAAAACACGCAAGTACTTATATTTTGTTGGAAAATCCTTTGTCGAAATCGACATCTTTCAGATACGAAAACTCAAATCCAACAGCATTCCACGTAATGGCGAAGAGATTAATAAATCTTTTACCATTAGAAAAGAAGAGAATCGAAGTCAGATATATTCCAACAACATTAGGAGTCAAAGAAACAACAGAAATCTCATTCCACGGAACAGAATCTGGAGATTACACTTATACATTATCAGGTACAGGAAAACCACCACAACCTTTGAGTCCGATCATTGTCAATGGAGCAATGAATCAGCCATCCAGTGCTTTAGTTTTGTTTACAAATCCATTCCCTTATCCAGCGAGATTCCAGATGAGTTTGGCCAGCGAAAACGAAGGTGAAATCTTCAAATTCTTGCTGAAGAAGAAGAATTTCCAGTTGTCTTCTTTCGGTGAAGAATTCCAGATTCCTTTCACTTTCAATCCATCTCAATTAGGACAATTCTCTGCCCACATAATTGTTGCTTACACAGGACCAGCACGTGGACAAATACAAGAAGGAGAATTACCAACAATCAGATGGATATTCTCTGTAATTGGAAACTCTGTAAGTGTTAATAACACTGAACTTAAACACATGAAATGCAGAGCAATGGAAATCGAAAATGCAGAGATGACATTCACTTTAGTTGGAGAAACTGAAATGTTTGAAGCTTCAGAATACAGTTTGACATTAAATCTTCCTCCTGAAAGCGATTTCTTAAGATTTAATGTCGACATGAAGCCAAATGAAGTCCACAAGAACGCATCATGCACCGAACTTATTGTCGGCATCAAGTTCTCACCACAAAGACCAGTAACAGCTCGTGGTCGCATAATAATCAAGAATCCTTTGGCTCAAGAATGGAGTTTCGACATCCAATTCACAGCAGAAAGAGGAAAACCAACAGCAACAATATCAATTGAAGCTCCTATCAATAAGACAGGAACAGCAAATGTTGTTATTCCTGCAGCATTCAGAGCACAAACACCATTCCATTCTTACATGGTCCAAGGAAGTGCATGTGAATTCACTTTGACAGCAGACCACGGATATATTGAAGCAGGTGTTGGAGACCATACAGACATGCCATTCCAAATCATATTCGCACCAAAGATGTACGGAAAAGTCCTTCAGGGTTTACTTGTAGTTGATACTATTGATTCACAATACATCTTCGAAGTTGTAGGTAAAACTCCTGAATACGTTCCTCCTGTTATTAAATCTGGAAGTAGATTGGGAGAAATTAAACCAGAAGAGGAAGAAGCAATTAGAGCAAAGACAGCATTGAGAGCAAAGAAGAAACCAAACTATATAAGAGAGAATATCGAAGCTGCTAAGCATGCAAAAATTGTTTCACCACATACACCAAATCTCAAATTATCTTTCAAATAATTTTTTTATATGTTTTTTATTTTTTATTTTGTTATAGTATTTTGATTTAAATATAAAGGTTATATTTATGAATTTAGATTTTAAAGTTTTTCAAAAATTTCCAAAAAAATTGAACTCAACAATGAACAAATACAAACAAAAAAACTTTTCAAGTGTTGTTACTCTAAAATTTCTACAAAAAAGTTCATTTTTTTATAATGGAGATACCAAATGAATTAACTCCTCTTTGGTTTGCTCAAGTAAAGCCAAATACTATCTGCAAAATATTAGTTACTGATGGAACAGACTGTGTTTTATCAAATGTGGCTGTTTCTCAAGGAGAAGAATATCCAAAAGATTCAAAAGTTAAACTATTCGTTAAAGTTAACGACAACCCGCCAATACAATTAATAAATTTCAAGATTGGATACTTTGAATCCTCGATTATGAAAGTTACTTTTAGTGAAAATGATAACATTCAATTTTATACAGAAGGAAGCGCGATACCTATTGATGTATCAGGATTTTTAACTGATGGTTTAGCTTTAAGTATCGAAACTGTCGAAAAAACAGATACAAAATGAACATTTACAAATATAATACATTCATGTAATAATAATTGTTTAACTCTCCTAAAATTAACTTATATTTTTATTTACATTATTCGGAAATCATTTATAAAAATATAATTTTCTATATCAAATGTAAATTAATGGATAATTCCTATAAAATTTAAACCTGTATTCATAATAATAACTATATGAAAATGATATGCCTTTTTTTAATAAACTTATTCATTCCAGACTTGAAGTAAATTGCAATTCTTCCTATATCATTGTATTAAAACACAATTGATATAAATTGTATAATGTTTAGCTTTATTATTGATTATCCAAGGTTAACATATATATAATGCAAAAAATTCATATCGGAATATACTAAAACTAATAGTTAATCTTAATTCACATGATGAAACTTAGCTATATTTTACTTTCTCATGATAATTTATGATGATTCCAGATCAATTTGGATTAGGAATAACAGCGTTAGTCTTTAAGAAGCAAGGTTTAAATATTTCATTGGTGTGTTGTTTCATTTCATATCTTTTTAGCAATCTTGATCAGTGAGTTCGAAATTAGCCTTGAAACCGAAATACAGAAAATTGCCCATGAAACAAAAGGTTAAACTATATAGGAAATGTTCAAGATGGGGTTTGGCCCGAGTTCACATTCAAAATCTGATTTCTTGTTGATTTACATTGTACCTGAACAATCAGCTTTTTTTTTATTTTTGTAAACTGATGTTTGACATTAAACTACATAAATATCAAATATGATATTATCAAATTAAAATAATTCGATATTTGAATTTGAGAGGATTATTATTATAATTTAGACCCTGAGAAAAAAAAATAAATGTTAACTGAGATTCATCATCAAGTAATACAGGAAAAGCAGCTTTCTAATATGCTTAAGATAGAAATTGCCCGCCAGAAAGAGGCTCTCGATTCAAGTATCAGACAAACCATTTCGGCATTCCGTAATTTTGGTCTTCTTGATATTTGGTATCCAAAGCTTTCTGAAGCGGTTGTACAAAATTTCCTTCACTCCCCTATCTTTACTAGAGAGCAGGGCACCGTGTATGAATCTCCTTCAGCTTTGCCATTTAATACGAGTGTAACTTCAAAAATAAACAACTTCCTTAAGCATTATTTAGAAAATATGCCGGAAATTGTTCAATGCATTAACGAATACTTCTCACGTCAAGCAGAAACCATTAATTATCTACCATCTCCTACCGCAATTCAATTTTTCTCATCTTCAACGTTCCTTTCTTTATTCGGCTATTGCTGGTGTGTTGAACAAGGCGCTGCTTACGTTGATTCTTTGATTCAACTCCTTGTTCTTCAGATAAAGCAGTCAGAAACTGTGAATTCAGTTTCTTTCCGCACTTCTTTCATTCGTGAAATCATCCGTCAATTTATGCATACGACGGGCGTTCAAACATATCTTCGACTTTCCCTTTCGAACATCTATATCGATTTTATCAATGAAGAAGACTTGTCGAAGTACAGGATGAGCTCGAAAGAATACCTCCAGGTATGTGCGAGGTACGCATCATTATTTACCGACAAACTCCTCGAGAATATACCTTTTATGCCAAGTTTATTGAGATATTTCTTCAGAAGAGCTTTCGTTGCTGCGCAAGAGATCTTCGGTGAGGATTCGCAACAGCCAACACAGCTGATCGAGATTTTCTTCTTCGATTTGCTTCTTCAGCCCGCTTTGATTAATCCAAAATTATTCGCTTTGATTCCAGAAACTTCGGTTCTCCCACACACTACACATACTACCATCGTATCAAGAATGTTCCTGTGGGCAACAGGAAGCTCAACAATCCAAGAATCCTACGAAAAAACCGGATTTACTAAGAGCGACGAATTTACAGGAATCCGCGTTCACGAACTCATCAAAGGAATCAGATCTTACAACGGTGAAGTCGATGGCATCTTTTCTGCACGTCTTCAGAACGTTTCAGATATGAGATTCCATTTGTTAATTTTATCGGTCAATGATGTACTTTTCATAGCGCATATAATTAATACAACATGCAATGATATAGATTTACCCGATAAAACAAAGGAAAAACTCTATCAATTAACGTCATTCGAAAAAGATTTCACATTACCGTCATCAGACCTGATAGACTTTTGGTTCCAAGCTTTCAAACTCCCACCGCAACCATTCGTTCCAGCAGATCTCAAAGATAAACCAGTTCTTTACATTCCTCTTCTTAATTCAGACCAACACAGCATAAATACAGATCATATCACCCCAGTTATCAATCATCTCATTGTTTACTTGGAGAGTCTCCCAATTATTCACGGAGCTCCGTCAGAATTACTCGATTTCTGCGAATTCCATCGTAAACGCGCTCTAGAAAACGGTTATGCCGATATCATTACAAAGACACAAGCTGTTTCCGTCAAAATCCTTAGTACCGGAGCAGATGATGTCGAAATCCTTAATCGCGTCAAGCAAACGATCGAAAACAGGACGTCATCGCACGCATTACAGTTCGCAAGCTCATTCCTTCTCCAGGAAGCCTGCGCGAAGATGGATACCATTAAAAAACGCATCAGACTTATGAACGACCAACTTACGCCAATTATTCATCAGAGCTTGTTAAGATTATTCCTGATCAGACATAAGAATTTACAGCAGGAAATCCAGCGAAATGAGAAACTTCTCTGTACATCTGATGAAGAATGGCTCAAATTCTTCCAGCCAGCGGCAGAAAATTTCATGGCCTTCTCAGAACAGAATGGCCTTGATAAATCCCATCGTTCTCCGATCATGAGACAATTACATTCCACATTAGTATCAATGATCCCTTATCAGAACTTTATCAACGCGAATCCGAACCTTGTAGAGCAAGACCGTGAAGTTTACCAGACATATGATCGCAGACTCGAAGAATTTCTCCTTGAAAATTATTCTCCTGTCCTTAAACAGCTCTTTAAGACTCCCAGTACCTTCGATGCACCAATAGCTGTCATCAGGAGAGGCACAAGCTTCGGTGGACCGCTCGAAAGACTCCAACAAATCATGAATGCCATAGATCTCATCCAGGACATTTATACTTTCGAGGCAGGTGAAGGTTGTCCGGGTGATGACTTCCTTCCATTATTTATTTACGTACTTATCAGGGCAAGATTGCCAAATCTCGCAAGTTCCCTCCATTACCTCAACTTCTTCCTCTTCAACATCGACGGAAGACTTAAACTTCTTGATTCCATGGAGAACTACTGCGCTACAACCTTCAGAACTTCGGCTGAAGACTTCATTATTAACGCTCAAAGATATAAGAACTAAGTAAGAGAAAGTTTAACTATATTTCTTTTGTATTCAATAAAAAGTTATATTTTTATAATATTCTGCTTAAAATTTTTAACAATTTTTTTGATATCTCAGAAATACTCTCGTTTCAACATAATTTTACCTTATAAATCTTTAAGATGTTTCTTGATATTAAGGATTGACAATACTTTTTAGTTGAATGTTTAACCTTCCTTAATTCCAATTCAAGTGTTAAATGATATTACTGACTATTTGTTTATTTTGGATAATAGCTGCTAAATTGTTGAAATCAGAAGGTTTAGTTAGAGATTTATGACATTTTTTGATAAATTTTTTAGCATTAAGTTAAGTTTTGAACTCCTATAATTAGATTTGCAAGTCATAGGATCATATGCTATTAGTTAGAGCAGTATTTTTATTGTATTTAGATAATTTTTTAAGCTTATTAGGCTTTAATGCACTATTTTATATGAGAAAATTTCTTGTTATTAGATAGTTATGCTATATTTAAGTTTTTTACTATAATCATGATTTTCATTAGGCGCCCGTTTTCTAATTCTAAAATGCTTCTCTCGTTTTTATTCATGTCTTTCGGTCTATCAAGGGATTCTGATTTTGATATTCAGGAGCCTTGTGACTGCGATATAACAGATCAGTGCGATTTATATTGCTGCTGCGATTTAGATTGCAATTCTTCATCAATTGCGAGATTTAGATCTACGTTTTGTCTCACTGAAAGTGTAGGAAATGTATATTCAATGACATGTGATACAAATAACATTGTTAAACATTCAAGAGGCATTCAAACTCAAACAATCGATAATCAAAAATGCTATTATATCAAAAATAATTTCTCAACGAAAGATGAAATCACAAATTACGATGCCTCATACTTCGGAATTTCCTCTTTTGCAGACAATACTTACATTCCAACACTTCCTTATCAAGCACAGATTAAATTTTATGAGACAGACCCATGGATGAGATCTAGTACATCAGAGGATATATTATATGCACCAATTGGCGTTAACTCAATCTATTGTAATGCTCTTTATGGCGTTAGAAATGTCGAACTTGGATATTCTTACGATACAAGCTGTATATATGATTCTGTCATTTTATCAGATAATAACTTTACTCCTTTATTACCTGCCAAATTTTGCGAAGGTACAAATTGCACTGATAAAACAACAGGAATTAAATTAACAATCGGAAAATCAGGATTCAATATTACAAATGCTTCAGCTCAAAATCAATTCATTCTTTACATGGCACCTAAACAAACCGTTGATACTTATACAGAAGCAGGAAATGGATATGGTTCAGGAAAATCTTTAGTTTCTTTAACAAATAATACAGAGCCTGCATTTGCTGATTTCTTATTTAACGGACAAACAGTTCCATTCGTTTCAAATGTTACTCAATTTTTCGATGTATCAAATTCTAGTACAGTACCTTCATTTTCTGATATATTCCCATATCCAGACTTATATCCAACATACGGTGAAATTGATTCAACATTTGAAAACACAAGTTTCACATTTCCTGAATATGGCGCATTAAATGCCTCTTCAATACACATATATACAATCTTATATAAGAAATATGACAACCAGCTTGCTTATTATTATAAAATTGTTGGAGTTGATTATCAGAACATTACTAACAGCAATTTGGACTATGCAACCATTAAAATTAATCAAATAGAAGTTAATGATAACAATGAGACCTTAGATCCTATTGTTGATACTCGTTATTCTGTTTCAATTTCAAATATCTTTTCATTTATGCTAAGTGATAGAAGTGATATTATCTCTACAACTTCTATTATATTAATCGCTATTATTACTATTCTTGTTTGGTTGGATTACTTGTTTTATGAATAAATTTGTCAAAATAATTAGATTTGTTTTTATTTAGGTATATTTTTCCAGATATTGATTTGATTTGTTGAATAGTTTGCCAGACAATGCCTTTTAAATCTTACATTTGTTCATCACATCTCCCCAAATGTCATATTCAAGGCAAACCTTAACGACATTTTTAGTTATTATCAATAAAAAATGCTAATGCCAAATTATCGATCCGAAAGATCATAAAATATCAATCAAAAAAATTGAATAACATCACTGATTTTACGATGAGTATTGGAAGGTTAACAGTTAAATGATCTAATTTCATATCAAAATGAATCCAAAATGACGATAAAGATAAAAGATCTCAAAATTATCGTTTCTCAACCGCCATAAAAATGAGTTTCGCTGAACTTGCTAAAGTTGGTGGCGTCTTGGGCGGCCTTGGCTTCGTCACAACACTCGCTGCATCCCTTCTTACATGCTTCTCCATTGCCTCAAGAGTTTGCTCTATCGTTGTTGGTGGTATCCTTGTAGGAGCTGGTGTCTTCTACGGATTCCTTGGATGGAAGACAGATGCTGAAAATCACGCACGCTCTATGAAATTCTTCGCTGCTGTTGCTTCTCTTGTCACAGGTATTCTTTATATCTTCCTCCCAAGTTCATTCCACACAGGCTCTTATCTTAACCGTATGGTTGTTTACATTCTTCCACTTGTCTCAATCTCTGTTGATCTCGCTTTACAGTGGCCATTCATCACATCTTTCATCATCCAAGGCATCATCGATACAGCTCACCTCGGCGCTGGCAAGGAGCACGTTCTCTACTCTGTTTTCAACATCTTCACAGCATTTATTGCTGCTACATTGATCCCAATCTCAAATGCAGGCACAAATTCACAGATTTGCTCCAGTGGAATTGTCTACTCAATTGCCGCTTGGTTCATCGCTTGCATCGTCTTCTTCCTTGTTGGTTTCAAATTAACCAGAACAAAGGGAGAAGCTCTTAACTCCACAACTTCTTACAACAAGGTCGGACAGTAAAGTCTTGTCCCTATTCTCAAATTAGTTTTTCTATTCGTTTTAAAGTTGAGTAAAGTTTTACTTGTCGTTTAAATTTACATGAAAAAATTAATATTTTGAAATTATCTCTTACAGCTTTACTATAATAAGTCATTATATATTTTTAAATCGTAAGTTTGATTTGAAGATCATTCAATCATAAAAGTTTTGATATTTTAGATATATTTTAAGATTCTTTTTTATTTTATGAGTTCTATATATTATGAAGGAACTATATTGGCTAATGCCCGTCTATATTAGTGGAAGATGTTCGAAGTTTAGCATAATTTTGTTTTGAAATTTTTAAATAAAGCTTAATCGAAGCTAAAAAAGCAGTAAATAAGCATTGATTAAAATAATATGAATGTATGCATTTATTTGATTGCGAAATAAAATTTTCAAAATGGACTCTGAGGAATCAAAAGAACTTTTCCCAAGAGTTCATTTGGATATATATGATGCACTTATATCCATGGTTATACTAGTATGCACAATATTTATGCATATTTATAACATTTATTTCCCAAATAGAACAGTATTTGACGAAGTTTATTTTGGAAATTTCACAAATTACTATTTAACTCGAACATTTTTCTTTGATATTCATCCACCCCTAGGAAAACTTCTAATGGCAACAGTTGCGTACTTCGCAGACTACGATGCAAATTTAACTTTCGAAAATTGTCCAGATTCAGGATATCACGAAGGAGATTACATCCAATTAAGACTCACTCCAGCACTTTTCTCTTCGCTTGTTATGCCTTTTGTATATCTTTCGATGAGATTTATGAATTTCTCCAAATTAGCCGCGATAGCCGCATCTGTGCTCTACATGTGCGACACTTCATTGATTACAGAAGCACGCCACATTCTTAGTGATGGCGTTTTATTGTTCTTTTCCTACCTTCATGTTTTAATTTTGTCGTATACTATTTCTATTCCAGTTTCAGATCTTTCATTCTTCAAATGGCATATCATTAATGGTATTTCACTGGGTGCAGCCTGTTCTTGCAAGAATACAGCCTGGGGATTGATGGGATTTGATGGAGCCATGTACATTTGCAAGCTATTTCCATCATATAAGATCGGCTTATTAGATTACCTATTCGATATTGGCTTTTACGGCGTTACTTTATTTTTAATTCAATTTTGTGTTTATCTTTCATCTTTCTTCATCCATTTTGCTGTTCTCGTATACGATGGCCCTGGAAAAGGCTATCTCCCTCAAGATATGCAAGAACAGCTTGTCATAGGCGGAGTTTATGGCTTAAAATCAGTTTTAATTTCAGGAAGAAATCTGTTGAAGAGAACTTTATGGCTGGCCAAAGATATGCACAAAGGCAATATGGGAATCACACAATTCCATGATTCTATGTCTTATCCCCATCATTGGCCAATTTTAGGTTCTGTTGCAGTATATTTTTATGGAATGGACCAGAGAGAGATTCGGTGTCTCGGAAATGTTTTCTCATATTATTTTGCTTTGTTTGGTATTGTTTGTTGTTTATTTGCTTTCAGAAAAGAGAAAAAATTAATTTCACTTTTACTCGCTTTCGGATATAGCTGCTGCTACTTCCCATTTTACCTTATTCCTCGTGTTATGTATTTATACCATTACTTAATTCCTCTTGGAATTGCTTGTATGGGATTTGGTGCTTTTGTCGACAATTTTTGCAAGGGAAAGTGGAAAGGAATTGTTGTAGTTGTTGTTTGTATCTTAGCAATAATAGGATTTTGGCTTTGGTCGCCTTATATTTATGCAACTCCAATGAGAGATAAAGAAATCTCTATTTGGAATGAAAATTGGATAGAAGGTGATCAGGCTCATAGAAGGAGAAGATCAGAACATTATGCCAAAAAGAAATAATTCAGAAAATTTTATTACTGGCTACTACTTGTTTGATATGTAAATAAATGTTTACTTTAGAGTTGATTAATCAATATTTTTTATATATTTAGCTTGATGCGAGCAAGGCAAATTTCTGATGAATTTTATTTTCTAAATTTTTGATATAAAACTAAGGTTAAGTTATAAAAATTAATGATGAACATGTTTATATATTAAAACCTTAGTTTTTGGAGAAAATTTTCAAAAAATTATTGCAAAAAATCATAAAAAGTTTAATAGTGATTTAACAGTTTAAAATGGTGCTGCAAAGTAACATAGAAATTCTCTGAAATCAAAATAAAATCCAAATATCCCAAAATAATAATATTAATTTTTTTGGACTTTAAACTAAGATGCAGCGGAATTTCTTTGGCTCCTCTTGTTGGGTATGATTTTGAACAGGGGTGACTCTTTTAATGTATTCACGAAGAGCTGTCTGAAAAGCGTTTGTAATATTGTATTCGGTCTTAGCTGAAGTTTCCATGAATGGGCATTTGAGCTGCTGTGCAAGAACTTCGCCTTCGGACTTCGAAACAATACGATTGTCTTCAAGGTCGCATTTGTTGCCGCAAATAACAATTGGGACATCGGTAGTACCCTTGTTGTGTAAAATATCGCGATGGAGATGCTCAATTTCATCAAATGATTGTCTGAAGGTAATGGAATAAACCAATAAAAATGCATTTCCTTTTCTTATATAAGGCAAACGCATTTGAATGAACTCTTCTTCACCGGCAGTATCTAGAATTTCACATTTATATGTAACATTGTCAATTGTGATATCTTTTGAGTATTGATCTTCAATTGTTGGATCATAATCCTCAATAAAATTGCCACATGTGTACCTGAGTGTCATAGCTGATTTGCCGACAGCGCCTGAGCCAAAAACTACGAGGTTGATCGGGGCGTTCGATATCATGTTGATTTTGTCAAAAAGATGATTTTGGGATAGATCCGGCAGATTGGCTTTACATGACAGGAATATTTTATATGTTTACTGGTCTAATTAAATATTGTTGTATATAATTAGACGGTCAAACAATAGTAAATCACTCTGCCCAATTCAATTTTTACCGAGAAAAAAAATCATTCTAAGAAATTTCACATTTTCGAGTCCAAGAAAAGCAACATATTAATATAATGCTTAGTATCAGCTATTGGAAGCTTAACATTATACATAGAACAAAAGTATTCTATATCATTTAATGAGTTTCTTTCTGTTTGGGATGTTATAATGTAGAATTATGTTGCATTTCATCAAAATATGAATTATAACGTTGGTGTAGGAAAACAATAGAATAATACAAAAAATTGTTAATTATCAAAAAAACAAACGAAGAATAGTAATTTATAAACTATGTATAACAACTTAATCCTCTCCTTCTTCTAATTGGCGCATACGTTCCTCTATTAATTGGACTAATAAAGGTTTACGGCAGTAAGTAGGCAAACCAAATTGCTTTGCGAGTTTCTTACGGTCGTATTTTACTCCTGGATGCTGACTTTCAAAGCGAAGTACGGTATCTGTCCATTTACAACCGGTTGTAATCAAATAATCTAAAATAAGTAAATATTCATCTTGTTCATCACTTTCTACATGAACATTTGGTAATTCAGGTGGTTCTGGATAGGTGTTGTCTAAAATATGTTGTGCTCTTCTTGTGGCTGTTTGTTTAGCTTCGCGAATTACTCTTTCAAACACTTCTTGTGAAGAAACTAGGGCTGATATTTGATTTTTGAGATCATGTTCTTGGCTACGAATAGCAGAACTCATTCAAATTAAAATATTTCCTTTAGAAAAAATAATCGTCAGTAACGGAAAGGGAACAAAACGTGACAGTTATGCGTTTAGAAATTCATGTTAGTATGTAATAAGTGATTTCATAATTCTTGATATTCATACAAGGATGAGTTAATCATTAATCACATAAATAATTTGAAAAATATCTGAAATTTGTTTATAAAATTGATTGAACACTTGAATTAATTAAAATGAATCCATTGGTTACTTTTGATTTCATGAGCATTATAACAATATGTATTTTGAGTTCAAATTTACTTTCTCATATTATATCTAATCAAAGAAACGATTATATCTGTGTAATCTCACTAGTGGAAAGTTAGTTCAATTCAAAAGACGCTATAATTACAAGTAATAGATAATATAATTTTTACTATCGTATTTAACAACAACTAGATTGAGTTTTTAAAACCGGATGTTCTGAGACTGTTGATTCATGATAACAAGAGCTGATTATTGTTTTTAATTCTTCGATATTATAGTGAATCTTGGAAGAAGTAGGAATTACATCTCTTGGATTATAAATTTTTACATCATTAATTGCTTTTCTAAGTGTAACATCATCGACAGATTCAATATCCCATTTTGAAAAAACAATTATTAGTTCATATTCATTGCTTCCTATTGTATTATTCACAACACTTAGACTACTTTCTAAACTGGAAAGGTCATTCGCATAACATAAAGCTAATACAATATTTGCTCCATGAATGTAATATCCGTTTAAATGAGAGAATCTTTCTTGCCCTGCAGTATCCCAGTATTCGTTTGTAAAAGTGTGCCCTTCAAACATAACTTCTTGTGAAATAAATTCTTGAGCGATTGTTGGCATTTGATCTTCATTGAACTCACGATCACAGAGAGCATTAATAAGTGATGTTTTGCCTATTGATGCTGGCCCAACAGTCACAATCTTTTGCTTTCCCATAATGAAATTTGAAAAAATTGGAAAATTTATCCGCTGACAAGATAAAATTTATCCGTATTTTGAACTTTCAAAAGAAGTAGCATATATGGTAAGGGTTTCGTTTTGCTAAAATTGTCACTTTTATAGCATATTTGTTTTTGGATGTTTTGCGAAACCAAAAAAAAAACTATGATATACAATGTGTGTGTAAAGAAAATACTTTATTTACTAGTTAAAAAATCATTTGGTATTGATCAAGTTATTTTTTCTGGATAAGATATTATATGGATAATTGGATAGAAAATACAATTATATAATCTTGTACCTGGTTTAATTAAGCTAATTGTCATCAGAAACTTGTAATTTTTATGAATTTCAGATTTTCTTTTCATTACTGCTTTTCTTAATAGGTCAAGTTCTTATTTACGTTATAAAGTATGATATTTACAAATATCAAGTTATCATGTTTTTTGAGAAATTATGAGAAACAAACAAAAATGAAAAAGATAGGAATAGCAATGAATAGTGATGTGGGTATAGAAAATGTAAGAGATATGAATGCAAAGCAATCAGTATTTAGGACATTGACCATAGATTTCGAAAAAAAATGCTGCATATTGAGCGAAAACTATGATTATATTATAAGGCTGTCATTTAAAGCATAATGAAATTATTCCCTTTTCATTTTAATCGAATAAGATAGTAAAGATTTTTGAATTAGCTAGAAATTGATGAGATGTTTTCACAAATCAGATTTTTAATCTCTATAATGCATAATTCACTCAATATCTCAATTTTGATATTGCGAGATATTTTTGCTATCGGTTTCGCAATTTTGACACAATAGCAAGAGGGTTCTATAAGCATTATTATCAACGTAGAATCTGAATATCATATCAGAAAATGTCGCAAATCTGACATTTCCCCGACCAAATAGCAAAAATAATTGAATACTTTTCGCAAAAACTTTAAAAATCGATAAAAATATGAAATATAGATATTAAAGAGACTTTTTATATAATATTCATAAAGATTTTCCAAAAATATGATACCGCAAAATTAAAAAAGTGGCGTCTTGAGTGGAGTCAAAGGTCGAAATTGCTAGCTAAATGTTTTTTAGCAAAATTGCGTATTGTACGTTTTTTTCGCAAAACGAAACCCTTATAAAAAAAAAAAAAAAAAAAAAAAAAAAAAAAAAAAAAAAAAAAAAAAAAAAAGGGAGTGGGGCTTCCAGGCACTTCGTGCCTTCTAGCCCTGAGGATGTTTTGTCAAGACTTCTTCATCGTAAATGTTTTGTCAAGACTTCTTCATCGTAAAATCAGACAAAAATATATTTTATGTTAGAATGTTAGATCTAACACGTTTTCTAACATGTTTTCTAACATCGTAGAAAACTCATGATTTCTTCGTAAATGTTTTGTCGAAACTTCTTCATCGTATATGTTTTGTCAAGACTTCTTCGTAAATGTTTTGTCAAGACTTCTTCGTAATGAGCGTAAATGACCCAAAAATATATTTTATGTTAGAATGTTAGATCTAACACGTTTTCTAACATGTTTTCTAACATCGTAGAAAACTCATGATTTCTTCGTAAATGTTTTGTCGAAACTTCTTCATCGTATATGTTTTGTCAAGACTTCTTCGTAATGAGCGTAAAGGACCCAAAAATATAATTTAGGGTAGAAGGTTAGATCTAACATTCTAACATAAAATATATTTTTGGTGTAAATTTCATGATTTTCAAGAGTTTTCTACGATGTTAGAAAACATGTTAGAAAACATGTTAGATCTAACATTCTAACGTAAAATATATTTTTGGTGTAAATTTCATGAAAATTCAAGAGGGTAGAAAACTCATGATTTCTTCGTAAATGTTTTGTCATGACTTCTTCGTAAATGTTTTGTCACTTTTCTGTCACTTTTCAGGAAAAAACATTTTTATTATATATATAAAATGAATTTTACAAAACCACCGTTACCCTTCTTTGGAAATAAGAGTAGATGTAAAGATATTCTATTGAGAGAACTTAAGAAACTACCGAATGGTCTAACATTTGTAGACTTGTTCGGTGGAAGTTTCTATATATCTCATTTGTGCCATACAATATTTCCTGACTCAAAGATTATATGCAATGACTTCGACAACTATATGAACCGTCTCAAACATATTCCAGACACAAACAAAATATTGAGTGAGTTGAAAGAAAAGATACCTATAGGTAAGATGGAACGTATACCATTAGATAAGAAAAATACTGTCAGAGAGGTTTTGAAAAAGGCAGAGTATATTGACTGGGATAGTATATCTGCTAGACTATTATATAGTGGTGCTATAAGAGTTCATGACATTGAAACACTTATGTCAAAAGTTTTATATCTTAACTATACAAATGTTTTCAAAGAGAACATAGAAAAATATACTGAGGGTATAGAGTTTGTGAGATGTCATTGGACAGAGTTGTATGAAAAATATAAAGACAAGGAAAATGTTTTCTTTATAGTGGACCCGCCGTTCTATAACACATGGGATTTTCAATACCAAGTAGACTGGACTTTGAGAGACTCTTTAGAAACTTTAGACGTTTTACATAACCATCCATGCTTTTACTTTACATCCGATAAAAGTGGTTTGGAAAGTGTCATGAAATGGTTAGAGGACATACATGACTATGAGTTTAGATACGATAAGATAGAATATGAGAGAGGTCCTATAAACTGGAGAAAGTGTCATAACAAAGAAATTTTACTAGTAAGTAAATGTGGTTTGAAATAGGACTACTTGTTTTAGGTTTTTTCCATTGTGTCATTTATTTATTTGACGTGGCAGAAAGATATAGAGAATATGAAGATGAACCAATGCCTGCAAATGTTCAGCATATGTACTCGTAAGAGATATTTTTATCTAATATTAAATGGACGCACAGAACTTAGCGAATGCACAGCAACCTGGACAACCAAACCCAGAGAATATTCCAAATGAAGTTAGAATACAAACTGCAATGGCAAACTATGGTCAAGTGCCAACAGATGTACAAATGCAAACTGCCATGTCAAATGACGCTGCGTTAGGTTTGCCACCATGGTATGCAAATATGAGATGGAAAGAGTTTTATACAAACCCTGAAGTCGGATATAAACAACTTTATGCAGATGACGCGAACACAGGAGTTGACCCAGAGTATGTTTTCTACCAGAGGAGAAATAGAATGTATGAGCTCCAGTTAAAGAATGCTATGGAACTCAACAGGAAACGTAAGAGACTAGGTGGACATTAGATTTTTACATATAGTAAAATGGGTTTCTTCAGTAAGATAGGAAACTTCTTTCGAAATGTTGGAAGAGGTATATGGAATGGAATAAAATCTGTCGGAAGAGGAATTTGGAACGGTGTCAAAAATATTGGTAAAAGAGTAGGTCAGTTCGTTGGTATTATACCTAAAGACCCTGAACCAGAAGAACAAGCTCCTGTTATACAACAGCCTGAACCTGCACCACAGTCTAGTTGGCAACCAAATCCAACACCTCAACCGTATTAAAATTATATTTTTACCGTTCGATAGTAGTTGTATATGAAACTAAGTTCTAAGTAAAACGCATGGTATAATGGAATTATTCTTTTTCTTCCATCTGTAGTAAACCATACTTGAAAGTCTGAAATACTTCCACTTGGTGGTTCGTATAACTTTGTAGGTTTTTCGTAAAAGTCATTTGCCAAGCATAAGAAAGAGTTTTGGGCGCCAGAAAATGAAGCATGAACAATAATAGCAGCTGGGTCGAAAACATCTTTAAATAAATATGGTTCATCTCTTGCATATCGACTGTAAATATTTGCTAAAGGAAGTTCGACTTTCTGATTTAACATTCTTTGCAAATAATACCATGACATTGCAGTGAATTCTGTATATATTTGTTCGTCTTTCTTTGGATTGTCTTCGTAGATTTGAAATGACACTTGTGAATTTTGTTTGTCATATACAATTCTCACATAAAGTGTGCTCTCGGTATTTGCATATTCATCAGCATATTTTGCATAACATGAATTTATTTTATCTTCTATATTTTTTAACGCAGTCTGTAGAGAAGATGAAAGGTCAACTTGTATTAGCTCAATTTCTTCCCACATTTTTCGTTTCCCTTCAGATATATAATCTATATGAAACCTTACAATAAATGGAAAACTTTTATCTTCTACAGACACAAACTTCATTCTACGAAAGCCAATAGCTTTTGTGACAGATGGGTCTCTTAGCCATCTTAATGGGTAGTCAAAACGATAGCCTTCATGCTTTACGGTCTCTGTCTCAAACTTTTGACCGACATTAGTAAAAAGTTCATCTAATGGTTTAGTTGTAGCAACTCTTGAATTTTCTTTTTCTATTGAAAGCATATTTTATCTAGAATAAAAATGTCGAAAGAAACAGCGTCTATGAGAGAAATACAACACAACCGACAACTCATTGTACAAGCTCTAAATAAGAACACAACAAACTTTTCAAACTATTCTAAGATATCTGAGTCATTGAAAGAAGGAAACTTAAAACTGACGATAAACCCAATGACAGATGAGTTTCTGTTTCAAGACAATAAGAACCATACTGTTTGTATAAATCCAACAAAAAGAACTTTAAACGAGAAACCTATAGATGAACTTCTTTTGAAAGCAGATATTGACAACAAAGCTGACAAAGAGTATGTAGACGATGCAATAGCATATGTGGCTAGTGGGTTAGTGAAGAAGGCAGATAAGGAATATGTGGATGAAAAAGATGAAGAAATTAAAAAAATGGTTGAATGGTACCATGAACGGACATCGAAGATTTTAGAAGGTAAAGCCAATACAGGGTGGGTTTCAGAATGTTTAGACCTTAAAGCTGACAAAGAAACTGTAGATATGTTGGCACAAACGGTTTCAAGTCATACCAGAGGTTTAATGGAAGATGGACAACAGTTGAAAGAGCTTGAGAAAGGTGTTACAGAGTTAAGGAATACAAAAGCAGACTCGACATGGATAAAAGGATATG